AAAGACGACTAAAAGGGAAACTTTAGAGTAGAAACGGGCGCATATCCTCCGCCAGTTCTCCATTTGACGGTATTCGCTCCTCTCTTCTCTATGTTTAGAGCCATCAAGCAAGTCGGGTCGTGAGATCAATATCAATCTTCCAAGCAAATCTGGGGTTTATTGAACCGCTTGAACTTAACAACCGAAGGCCGTTTGATAAAATCCGGGGGAAGTTGGGGGAAAAAAGAGACAGTGACCGCTTGATGGTGATTGTTTCTATCCCCCTTCACTTGCCAGGTGCCGTCGAAGTATCCGGCTATGTCTGGAATGTGTCTCGTGGGTCGAAAGGATACCTGGTTACCACTTTTCTGAATCAGCACTAGCTGGCTAAAACAGTGGGAGATTCCAGCCTCACAGCAGCATCCACCACTGCGTCAACCTGAAGCTAGCTGTCTCTGATGCTGAACGTAATCCACGACGTAATCCACGATGCTTGATCGACTCTGGCCAGCATTACTCAGAGATCTATCTTTCGCTCTATGCGACTTTCGATAGAAGTAGTTGGTGTCACGGATGTGACTCCTAGGGATGATCTTCGTGGCTGAAATTGCCGTTTCTGGCTCGATTTTAATAACTACCAGGTGGGATGTTTAAATGATACAGGGCAATAATGGCCTGAAGTAGTGAAGTAGAATTAGCCGAGATTCCTAGTTAGTAGACTGAGTGTAGGAATATTCCTGTCTTTTTCCATATAGGTAAAATAGTAAGTATGGTTGTCATTGCAGTCGTCAAAAATCTTCGCCTAACGCCATACCAAATAGCCACCAAATACACATTTAAGTATTTATTATAAACAAACAACGGGACACCAATATCCCGAACCCAATCCCTGCTTCCAACTAGAAAGGATGGGGTGGGACGATCCTACGAACGCCGGGTTCGTTAAAAGAATCCTTATCCTTAATTCCATCATGCCGAAGATAAAAACCGAATAATGCACCGCTCACATTCCAAAATTTTCTTCCTAGGGCCGGGAAGATGATAAACCCCTGGGCTTATCACAAATCACGCATACGTGTTTGTCGCTTTGCGGTGCCGACATGGGTATTTTGGACCTTTGCAGCGAACTTCAGGCTGGTGAGGGTCTCGCTGAGATGATCCTGCTGCGGACTAACCATGACGAACATGAGTGTCTTCGAATTGCCGCCCAAGGAGAATTGGAGCAGGTAGGTAAGCTGTTATTTGAGATATTGGCATTAGGTCAGGACGTAATTTGGGAAAGTTTGGGTCAAAGCTTGCATACCTTGCTGTTTCTATACGGAATATGAGCACCCTCCTTACCCTGTCCCAAAGCACTAATAACATCTCCGAGACAGCTGAGACTCTTATTGATGTTTTGGGTCTCCTTGAGTCTTTCGCCGGTACTGCCACTGTGGCTAAGACGCTCACTTCCCGCAAGATCAACCAGATTCAGATTGCCTTCACTGTGCTCTCCAGTTATTGAGTTGTCACCCACGAGCCGAAGGATGAAGACGGAGTGAGAACGAGACGAGCGTTCATTAGCCTTGGTAGCAGCAACAGACCGATTTGCCCAAGCTCTTTGAAGGATCGATTCCACCTTTTCGGGCGAGTCAAGATTGACGGTGGTGACATTGGTGACAGTGGTTTGGCATTTTTGGAGATCATGCCTAATTTCGTGTTTCTTCTTATCGAACTCTTCAGCTTTCCCTAGGAGATCGTTGATGTTTTCGTTGTATACCTCGACGAAGCTTCCCTCCATCGTATACTGCCAGCCTTTTTCCTCGAGGCCGTGGGCGGTGTCGTATATCTGGCGTACAGCACGAGGTATCATACCGTCTTCAGAGGACATTGTGTGCGTTTTACCGCTTCCTGTTTGACCATAACAGAATATGCAGACATTATAACCATCCAAGGCACTTTGAACGAGTTGGCTAATTTCTTCGAATACTTCTGCATTCTGCGACCTTGGCCCAAAAACATGGTCGTATGTAAATGAATGGTTCTTTGCACTGATTAGGCCTAGACTTGACTTCTCCTCCGGCCCTTGAACTGCGATCTCTCTGCAATCCATATCTTGGTCAGGGAAAGATATCTTGGCAGTGTTTTCACTCGAATCGCTGGGTAGCACTGGACGGACCCGACAAAAAACCCTGATATTTCCTTTTAGTTCCTGAATCTGGTTATGTAGTCTTCGTCGAAGAGTTTCTTCCTTCCGTAACTGTGCCTTCGTGGCATTGGTCTCTTCTAGTGCCACACGAAGTTCTTCATCAAGTTTTGCAAATGCGTCTGATTGTTCCTTGCTCCCCGATTCCAGAAACTCGATTCTTGCTTTGAGTGTGCGGATAGATGATTCTAGGGTAATTGTATTATTGGCATTCACAATGGAGCTTTGTTGTAATTCCTTGTTAAGTGCATGTTCCCGCGCAAGATCATCCTGCAGCCTCTGTTGTTGGGTGAGTAGATCTTGTATCTCTCGGTCCTTATTGTTTAAATCAAGCTGGTCGCGTTGCTTGTCCAGGGACGACTGAGCAGCGACCTGTTCGAGTTCCTGTGCTCTCAGCTGCCGCTCTACCTCAAGTTCGGCTTCGAATCTGCGTCTTGTCTCGGCAAGCTCGGCTCGGTGCTGTTGCATAAGTGCAGCGATTTCGGCCTGAGCATCTTGACGTATACTCTCAGACTGATTTCGATGCTGGGTTGCAAGTTCACTAAGGGCAATTTCTTGCTCACGGCATAGATCTTTCAACTTTAATTCAGCATTTGTCAACGAGTTTTTCGTGGTCTCAAGTTCGACCCGCAAGTCTGCATTTTGGTGTAGAAGCTTAGTTTGGTTCTCTTCCAGCATTTGGGCTATATTTCATTTTCAAGAAAGTCAGCAATCGTCTGTGGGTAATACAGTTGATACAAAGTGTTGGTCCTACTGCGCGACTTGTATAGATCGGTGGTCTCTGTCATGGCAGCAGTTTGCTTCACCATTTCTTCGACCATTTTTCGGACATGGGTCATGTTATCTGAAATTCTCTGCTCCTTTTCATCTTGATCCCAAGCTTGGACTTCAGTGTCTATAGTTAGAAAACGTTTCACTTTTCTGGGGGAGCGTGGCTTGCGGGTTTTCTTAAGCATGAAAGGGGAAGGGGGAATCGAGGGCGCGGTATGAGATGATATCAGGGGGCGAGCTGGGGTAGGAATCTTGGATGGTGTAGATAACTGCGGCTGTGCATTTGGCTTGAAAGTGTCCAAGGAAGGCTTGTGGTTAAGGGATAGCAACTGCATCGCTGTGCATAGAGATGGGTTGCGGGAGGGGGTATGAGCAGGGGATGACCTCAATTGCTTGGAAGAACCATCAACTTGGCCGTCATAGCTCTTAGATGAAAGAGATTTACTAGGTAGGCTGGGGCTCGGTGAAGGGGAGCGAGGGGCTGAAGGTGTAGATAAAAGGGATGAGGGCTGACGCGCACCATTTCGGTTTGAGCCAGCATCCCGGCCATCCATAGAGGTCGCGGGCCGCGAGATAGATCCTTTCTCAACATTGAGATGGCCTATTGACGTCTGCGGGCGCGGAATGTTGCGTGTGCCTGGCGGAGGTCTTAGTCTCGATCCGGTCGTCGGTACGCGGGAGACAGCGGTCTTCGAGGCACCCAGACTCTTGGGCAGTCCGGATTTCGTGGAGCCAGCAAATGACTTTGAGGTTAGATTCTCCTTCTTTCTCGGCTCTCCTGCGCGCTCGCTCAGCGTTTTCCTCTCTAGACGCAGTGGGGTAGAAACATTAACAACATCATCCGGTACAGATAAGGACCCGGGGTGGGAGGCTTCAATTGGGTACTTTTGTCACTACTGGCGCCCGAAGCCGCCACAGCTCGGCCAGCTGCATTATTCGCGGTGTGTGTGATATCCCTCAGACCCTCCGGCTGCGTGTACGAGTACTTTGGGCGTGGGATGTTGGAGACGCTCGATGCAAGCTAGTTTTCCATGGTCAGCAACCGACGGCGCCAGTGCCAGAGGGGAGGCGGGAAGTATCCCCTCAACTCACTCTGGTCTGCGTATCTTCTTCGTCCATCTCGCCGGGTCGCTCTCCGCGCGCTCTCTGTCTGTCGTCGTTGTTTGTGGTCTCAACTTGTCCGTCGACCGTCGGGCTATCGAAGATATCATCATCATCGTCATCATCACAGACTTCCCAAAACGGATCGAAAGTAAACAAAAAAAATCTTGATTATGTCATCCATCACGTGGATTGAATCTTGGTGACATAATCTGCTGATGTAATGCAGACTGTTCGAGATCGCAATAACAACACCGCATTAAGGGGGGCGGCGGACCAGCAGCGACGACGGCAACTTGACGGTGTATAGTGAAGAGACTCGACCAAGGAGCAGAGCTGTTTTCCTGTCTGGTTGTTGCTGCTGCTGCTGCGGGCGTGCGGCCTGGGTCAGTTGTGCTATGTAAGCGCCGTCATTTAAATAACTAACTAACTAGTTAGTTACCTGCGACCCCAAGCTGACTGTTAATCTCCGCGCCGTTGAAGAAGACATCTCGCCTCCCCAACTCCTCCCTCTCCCTTAGTTACTTGCTCCAGTGAAGTAAATTGTGCGCCTTAAGTGATCGGCAGCTCGAGCCATTGGACCAGACCACAGATTCCTACCGCCATGGCTGGTCGTTTTGTGCGTTCGTCGAAATATCGTACGTCTCTGAACCCCCTCGTTTGGCTATCTATCGTGTGCTCCCTCTATCCTCGATGCACGGTGACTGACACAGCCGCATTTTGACAACAGGACACATCTTCGGCCGTTCCACACGAAAGGTACTTCCATAGACGTCCAAAAGTCTGCCCGATAATCTGACTTCCCGAGTTTCGTTTGCCCTATACTCATTCCAGCTGGGCACACTAGGACCAATGCTATGATAGCCTTCGAGTCTCTACCAATGCTTGGGATACCAACCTGCTAAAGGTCAGTGATATCTGCTCTGCAGCTCCACAAAGGATTTTGGGGTGAAGTGGATGGCTAATGGTATCGCAGGTCAACCCCGAATATCTCTCCGTCAACTGGGAGACTGCGGGCGGTGGAGCTTTCGCCGTTATTCCCCTCCGTGAGAAGGGCAGACTCCCTGAACGTATTCCGCTCTTCCGTGGGCACACCTCAGTAGTCCTCGACACAGACTGGTCAGCAATCCTCACAATGGCAGTGAGAGGCGAGAACCGGCTAACCTTTGCCACAGGAACCCGTTCAACGATTCTCTGATTGCTTCGGGAGCTGATGACGGAAAGGCAAGTGATAACTACCTTCTTCGTCTTTAATCTACTAGTACTATATCTTACGGGTAATGCTGTAGGTATTCCTTTGGAGAGTGCCCGAGGGATTTACTCTGTACACAGATGCAGAAGAGATCCAAGACATTGCTCCAGTCGGCAGACTTCCAGGTCATCCTAAGTAAGCGTACTCTTTTTAGTAGGCCCCCTATTCCCTGGTAGTCACGCAAGCTAACTTGGACACTAGGAAAGTTGGCCATGTTTTGTTCAATCCTGCTGCCGAGAACGTCCTTGCTTCCTCTTCCGGAGACTTTACCGTAAAGATCTGGGACATCGAAGCCGGTGCATCTAAACTCACTCTCAACGTCAATGAAGTAATACAGTCCATGTCATGGAGTGCGAACGGCTCCTTGCTTGTCACAACCTCCCGTGACAAGAAACTGCGCATTTGGGACGTTCGGCAAGAGAAGCCAGTACATGAAGGTGCCGGTCACCCTGGTGCTAAGAACAGTCGAGCCGTCTGGATGGGTGAGCATGACCGTATTGCAACAACTGGTTTCTCCAAGATGAGCGATAGACAAATGGCTCTATGGGATGTTCGAGCTGCCAGGGAGCCTATCAATGGCTTCAAAGTTCTAGATTCCATCTCTGGCGTCTGCATGCCATTCTGGGATCAGGGTACCCAGTGTCTATACCTTGCAGGAAAGGGGTATGCCTAAGCTCTCACTATTCACGCAATTCGGTACTAACGACCTCTTGATAGAGATGGAAACATTCGATACTTCGAGTACCAAAACGACAAATTTGAATTCTTAGCCGAGTACAAATCTGGCGATCCACAGCGCGGTGTAGCATTTATGCCGAAGCGAGGCGTCAACATGCACGAGAATGAGGTCGTAAGGGCTTATAAGACTGTTAACGACTCATACATCGAGCCTATTTCCTTCATTGTTCCCCGCCGTGCAGAGGTGTTCCAGGATGACATCTACCCACCGACTACTGGCATCAGCCCTGCCATGTCTTCCAGCGAATGGTTTGCAGGCAAGGAAGCACTTCCTCCCAAGATTGATATGGCTAAACTATACGAAGGAGGAGTCATGAAAGAGCTTCCAGCGGATGCAGTGGCTTCTACAAACCAGCCCGAAGTCAAGGCACCGGAGCCGGCCAAACAGGCAGAACCAGCCCCAAGACCAACACCAGAACCCGCACCCGCACCAGCTGCTACTGTAATCACCCCGCGCGCCGGTATGAAAGAACAAGGCGCCTCCATGGCTGCGGCCGCATCAAAGTATATGGATAATGATGAGGATGAGGAGGAGGAGGCTGGTGGCAGCTCGAGCTTCGACGCGGCAAAGTCCCAACCTCAAAAAGTGCCCTCCATCTCCGTTTCCCCAGCACAGGCTGAGGCTTCTCAGCCATCTAAGGAGGAGCCAAAGGTGTGTAATCACATTGGCGGAAATTTATATGCATATATTAGAACTACAGCTAACCTTCTTAGGAGTCAAAACCCACTCCAAAACCGACAGCCACAGCCACTTCGGCTCCAGCTAGCAAGGGTACCGACTCTATCTCTTCGGAGTCATCGCTAGTCAAAGAGATTGAGGCCATCAAAGAGGTTCTAACTGAACAAACCCGCACCATCACCTCTCAGGCTGAGGAGCTCAAAGCCCTGAAATCTGAAGTTGCCAGCCTCAAATCGAAACTCGGATAGGGTAGTGCTTAATCTGATGTCGCCCCTGTTGACTTATTTATTCATTGATGCATGCATTGGATAAAAAGATATACATTCTCCTCCACCGTCTTGTTATTTAGCTTTTGCAAACCTGTCCATAAATACAACCTAGCATTATTATCATGTCCGCGCGCATGCATATATATATACATTGCCCTTCAATGTGATCTTACCCCGTTTCACCATAGAAAGAACTTGTGCCTTTGATGCGTGTCTGCAAATAGCTCTGGCTTTCCGGTCCACTTCAACTATAATTGCTCCACCACAGCCGTGATAGCTGAAAAGCTACCTCCATATTGAGCAAATTGTTCCACATGAGTGAAATATTGTAACCAGGGATATCGATATACACACATGATAATTGAATGTCTATTTATAGCTTTAAGCCTCAAGTGACGTCAGCAGTAAGTGACCCCTTAATTTTACAACAGCATAGCAATTAACATAAACAGTTAAATTTGAAGAAACAAACGAGCAAAGCCCCTGCAAAATGTTACATTGACTAGTAGATGAGATACAGGCAAGATCTATCTATGACCACATAACCAACGGGGGTTTCCGGTCCTCTTTTTGAACACACTGGAAGTAGCGATCATACAGACTCGAGTAGAATTATCAGATGTATATTCGTCTGTATATCCTGTTCAAGACCATCGAACAGCTTCACGCTCCCGTTCGTGGTCACCCAGTTCATCTTCGTATTTGTAACTCAGCTTCCTGCCCAGGAGGTTACGGTCAAGTTTGGAATTACCATCACGACGACGGCCGCCTCCCTTGCCATCACGGTCTGCATTGACAGCTTCTCGTCGCTGCTGTTCCTTCAACAGACGCTCTCTGTTTCGAGCCTCTCGTTCAAGCGTATGCGGATCCTTTTCAACAGTGGCACCGTTTTTCGACGCATGGCCGCTTGGTCGAGACTTATCCGTAGCTTTGGTTTCCTGGGCTTTACCTGCCTGTTCATTGTTATCTTCATGCCGGGGCCGCCTAGAGCGACGGTCATTGTATTCCTCATCGTCGCGAGACTCAGAGTAATCTCGACGGGACCTCTTACGGTCACGACGATCTCTATCCCTCTCCCTGTCCCGCTCCCTATCTCTCTCCCTATCACGGTCCCTATCACGCTCACGCTCACGCTCCCGGTCCCGGTGGCGGTCACGGCCTTTATCTCTCTGTCTGTGGCGATCTTCCCCTACGCCATCAACATCTTCGCGAGATCTATGCTTATCGCGTCGATTTGACGAGCTCCCCTTTATAGACAGGCCAGGGTCGCTTTTATCAGAAGCATCGACAGCTCTGCCATCTCGTCTGCTTGGGCTGCGACTACGGCGCCGACGAGACCGCTTGGAAGAGCTATCATCGCGATCTCTGTCTCTCTCACGATCACGTCTACGGTAAGATGACGATTTAGTGTCTCCAGGGGAAAGAGAGCGAGATCTAGACGTTGGACGTTTATCGTCGTTCACATCGGCTTCCCTGTCGTTGTCATCCCGACGAGCACGCTTACTGCGCCGCTCCCGTCTCCTTTCGTCTTCACTCTGTGTAGGTCCGGCCGAAGGGCTGCGGTAGCGCCGCTGACGAGACCTGTAGCGTGAAGGCGACTTAGATCTTGACCTCGATCTAGATCTAGACTTAGACCTAGCCCTCGAAGCTGGTGCATCTGGCTCAGCATCACGCTTAGCCGGGGACGAGCTATATGTAATCACTTATTAGTACAGCCTAGCAATGTAAGGGGCGTTAAACGGTAAAGTTAACAGTCATACCTTCGAGACTCCTTGACAGACGGCTGGCTCATCGACACCGTTCGGCTGTGGCTTTGAGCAAAGTTTCTCATGTTACGGGTGCTTGTGTTTGGTAGGCCTTCTCTCATCGCTCGCGGCGCGGCTGGGGCTCCTGCAACTCCAGGACCTGGACCTAGTCCTGATGCCCGTAAGCCTCCCATGGCCATGGGGGTGTTTGAAGCCATGGGGCCACTTGGTACCCCGTTAGGCATTCCATTCACATACGGTGTAGACTGGAAGCCCGGGCCATTTCCATGGTACCTGCCACCTCCCGGGCCACCACCAAAGCTAGGGGTGCTGGAGTAACTAGGGATAGGGTTTGTATGTGCAGCCGCAGTGGACGACGGAGTATCGCTAGTTCCATTGGCAGTAGCGGTTGTTGTAGTATTGGTAGATTGCTCAGTTGATTGATTTGCAGTCTGATCTGCCGTTGAGCTTGCAGCCCCATCCACTGCATCACCACCAGCAGGCTGCTTCTGTGCTGGAGTTTCAGCAGACTCTTCCTTGGGCTGATGCTCCTTCATATCCTCCTCGCCACTTGGGTTGAATCCGTCGTCCACCTGGCCTGAAGCACTGTTGGGGAGCTGCTGCTGCTGCGGCTGCTGCGGCTGCTGGAACTGAGGCTGATTATAGCGTTGGAAGCCGCCCATGTTAGGGGGTAGAGGGTTACCTTGATAGCCGTTAGCAGGCTGATAGCCACGGCCGCGCCCGACGGGGCCGAATCCTCGCCCTCCTCGCCCTGCAACAGGGCCACCGCGGCCGTAGGGACCATATGAGTTTTGAAAATCATTGCTAGGAAATTTCTGTTGCTGATGCAGGTGAGGAAATTTTTGGTGAGGTTGTGACTGTGACTGTATCATATTATATCCACCAACTCCAGGAGCAGGGCCAAAGTCGGCACCCATGCGATTAGGGAATGCAATTCCATTGAAGTTATCTGGACCACCATTCCACATGTTGCTCTGACCATCCCATGATCCATACATTCCTTGCCCAGCACCGGAATTCATCATCATACCCATGTTACTGTTCATCCCATTCATATTCATCCCGTAGCCAGTAAACATTCCCTGAGCCGCGGTCATCGGATCCATGCCCATACCAAACATCCCGGGAGCTCCTGGATAACGTTAGTAACCCGACCCTACCATAACATTACTTAAGGAAGAAAGCAAAATGTCCTTACCCATTGGATTCGGGGCCATCATCATGCCGTTTGCCATGAATGGCATTCCCTGGTTGAAGTCCCCGGTTCCATTCCAGCCCATCTGGGCGAATCCATTGGTATATCCTCCTTCAGGGAGAGTTGTATTATCGGGTAGTGCGACGGTACCACTTTCTGTACCGGCAGATGAAGTCGTCGGCGCAGTTTCGGGTTCAGTAGTAGCCATTTCGGTAGTAAGCGTCTCATTCGCTGCGTTTGGATAGGCATCCTTGAAAATTGTCAACATTTGGGCAATGAAGATGCATTGAATTATCAAATCTTACATTGTCCTTTTTAGTATGATTTTCTGCCTGTGACTCCGTATTCTCTCCGCCACTAGTGAGTTGCTGGCTGGTATTCACCACGTCTTGCCCATTGGGGGCTGCAGTGGTAAGACTGGTCGGTTTTGGGTCAGCAGAATCGGCTGCGAGACCGTCAGTGGCCTGAGTCTGAGCCTGCTCCGGTTCAGCGGGGATGGGAACAGGATCTGTCTCAGGTGCACCGGAAACCGCGGGGGCAGGCGGAGTAGGTTCTTTGACAGGCTTGTTCTTCTCGCGTTTCTTCTCCTCTGTCCGTAGAAAGGCCTTAAGCGTAGTGCGCAAAGCCTTGTTTGGTTTGCAGAGCTCAGCGTCCAGGGGACTATGATCGCACACGGGACAACTGGAAGGAAGAGATGTTTGGCCTGGTCATAATCCAGCCGAGTCAGCCAAGATCAGGTCTATTGGATCTCATTAAATCTCATTAAAACTGGGAACGTACAGCCTTCGCATATTGCTTGGTCACAGCATGGCAATCTGAAGGCGTTCCAGGCGAGCTTGCTGCAGATAGCGCAACGCAGCTTGAATGGGATCTCGTCTTGGGAGAGCGAGCTAGACAGAAGTTAATACCGCATTATGCTGTGACACGGTGCAAGAGAGCCATACCTAGCAATGTGATCGAGGCCCGCCATCTCTGGGGGCTGGTTCGCTGTCTTGGTGGGTAGGAATGGTGCAGTGGGAGAAGGCGGCTATGAGTCGCGGAGACGTGGTTTAAAGTGTATTCACGACTCAAACGGAGCGACAGGCATGACGCGAGTCCATGTCTTCACCTGCTCTCTCCTTTCTGTCTGCAGTGAATTCTTTATATTATGCCTTTTCTCCTCTTCTTCTGTTCAGTCGTCCTCTTCGTTCTTTTTATGAAGTCTTTCTCTTAATTTTGGAGATCCACTCCCGGGCGGTCGGGTCCATGCCGTCGGAATTAGGCTAAACATTGTTCCGGTATTCGCACGTGACTAGAAATTTCGTTCTCGCCCATCGGGGGGATTTCAGAGACAGCTTAGACAGAAGCATGGAGACAAAGAAGAGCAGTAAATTGCCAGTAAAGACCGGCTTTACAGTGTCACCAAGTGCTGATTAGAGGGTTGATTATAAATGTTGAGGGTTGGCTTCCCCGGCATGATGTCATCTAGCTGTCTGCAAGGTGGGTAGCTACGATATTATGGGCCAGCTTCAAGTGGCCATTTGATAGCCCTCCTACGTCTGTACTCTTCATCTGTATCGTAGACGATCCTATTCCTCTGCTCTTTATCTCGGTCCCTAGTATTCCGATATACAGCCATACCCTGCCGAAAGCTATCTGTATTGCCAATTTGGCTCTGTTATTATAATGGAATACTGTTATTCTGGTCATCACATACCACCAAGCTCCTCACAGAGCTGGAGTTGAAGCCGTTCTAGGGGTACACCGGTGTAATAGTCTAGCATCGCCGTAACAAACCGTCTACAAGAGAATGAAAACTCGAGCCTATGCAGTCAGTAGTAGCCAGGAGTACCACCCGTAGTTTTATCGCCAGACGTGATATGCAATTGTATATGCTGCCTGTCGAGCTCCTTGAGGGCGTCAACCAGATCCTCGACAGCTCATCCCAGCACCGCAACTGACGCCCAAATCGGGTTCTCTTATGAAGCCTTTTCTGCATCTCATCGAATACTGGGTGTTGTATTCTGTCGAACAAATACTAGTGGCACAACGGAAAGGCACGGTATGTTTCTCTATTGTGTCACCAACTATCAAAGGGACCATTATTCAAAGGATCTTCGCGGCTCTCCGTGTACATGCTAGCTACACAGCTATCCGGGGTTGAAAGGTTGAAGGAAAAGGAGGTCAGTCAGATTAGATCAAGTCAAACCCTTTTTAAGGGTATCAGCGACGTAAGATGTCGTCTGGGCGCCGGCGATGCCTTTTGACGGCTTCATCCTAGGCCAGAGACACACGTCTCGAGCTCGAAGTTATCATCATCGACCGGGTCGCGGCGTAGAATAGAAGTATGTGGAGAGGGCGTAGTGACGGGAGAGTGCAGATTGGGTAGGGTGAGGGTCCTCAGGGCAGTATACTATCAACTAGTATACCACGTTTATCTCTCCTTCACTATATCATCGCTGTCATCGTCTTGTTTCTTTTCTCTCTTATCTTATTCCTACCTCTTCCATGTTATATATTGCTGCTTGCTGATTGTGGTTGTGGGTTGGTTCCTTTTTGTGTTATTATTCCAGGTAGTTTTCTTTGTGAAAAACTTTAAAAAAAAAAAAGCGCCTAGACCATCACGTGATGAGGGGCTCTTCCGCCTTTTGAGTGCATAAAAGGGAAGGAACGACCCCGCGTGAGAGTTCGACGAGGAAGAAAGGAAAAAGAGGAAAGAGCAAGGCCTAAACCCACGCACTCCTTATTTACGCAGCTACAGCCACGCACCCCGCCCCTTCCCACCACCCCTTGCGCTAGTCCTTTCCTGGCCTAGCGTGACACTGGAGCTTGGGCCACCGTGAAGCGGAAGAGAAAAAGAACTTCTCGTCGAACGTCGAGTGGTTGACAACAAGCAGCGACAGGCGAGACACAACAAGACCGAGTCCGCGGCCCGAGAGCAGCGACGGGACAAGGGCTCGACAGGGACTCAAGTGAAGACAAGGGAGCAAGGATACACTCACAGAAATTTCAGCGCGGATAGGTCTCTTAGGTATGGCTCTGCGACCGGTACACCCACGTGTAGTTCATCTACATCCCATCCGTCTACAGCATAACACACCCGGCGCCGGCGCATATACCCCGTCTATATGCCTATATCTGTATCAGTATTGCTAACCAGCCCTAGAATGACAGACCAAGACAACTCGTACAGACCGCGCTCGCCTGACTTCTCGGGCTTCGCCGGCAGCGTTCCCCCGTTTCACGACTACGGCCACCACTCCTCCTACGCTGCAGCCTTCACGACTCCAATCTCGCCACAGGCCTCCTACGACGCCTCGCCTTTCTTCAACCCACAGGCCCATCATCAGCATCAGGCCCCGCACCAGCAGTATCACCAGCAGTATTCTCATCTCCAGCAACAGCAACAACAACAACAACAGCCCCACCACCAACCGCATCCACATTCACATCAGCAGCCGTATATTCCACAACTCTACTCCCCGACGGACGAGATGGCCCCTACTACCCGGTCTAGGGCACAGGCTATGCAGCAGCCGCAGCACATGCTCGAGCAACAGCAACAACAACAACAGTACCAATCTCAGATCCTCCAGCAACAGCAGCAGCAGCAGCAACAACAACAACAGCCACTACCACCGCCGCCACAGCAACAAAATATGGTGGAACAATCGCCCATGGAACATCCAGAGGCAGAGCAGGCGAAGGAGAAGAGCCTGGGACCCTCTTGCGGAATAGAAGTCAAGACCAAGTTCCCCGTCGCTCGGATAAAACGTATTATGCAGGCAGACGAAGATGTCGGCAAGGTCGCCCAGGTTACGCCCATCGCAGTCTGTACGTTACTCTCCTACCCCATACCATAACTCTGAACTACCACATACTAACCCGTCCACCAGCCAAAGCGTTGGAGCTGTTCATGATATCCCTAGTCACCAAGGGTGCACAGGTGGCTAGGGACCGTTCGTCCAAACGTATCACCGCAAATCACCTCAAGGAAGCCATCAGCAAGGACGAAGTTCTTGACTTCCTCGCAGACATTATATCCAAGGTCCCTGATGCCCCCTCGGGCAAAAAGCACGACGAGGACGGCAGTGACGGGAACGACAAGCCAAAGAAAAAGGGTAGCCGTCGGAAGAGAGAAGACATGGATGACGACTAGTCTCGATGTTTTACTTCTTCGATCTCCTCTCATTTATCTCTACACTGGCTGGTTATACGTATCATTTACTCGGTTGGGAGCACAGACTGTGGCTGGCGTTGGCGGTAATCTGAAGCATGCATCCTTTTATTCCTATATCCTCTTTCCATATATCTTCTCCATTCACTCGTCGTGAACTCTTATCTCTTCTCTTGGCTTGTCTCTTACATCAATTTTGCTTCAATTTTAATGACATAACGTAATGCGTCTGACGACAGGTTAGAGAATAAGTTTGTCAGCCTAGAATTTGGCTTAATGGATCTCTACGGCTCAATGCTTACTACGCACGGCCCCTTCTTCTATATTGTCGTTTCTTGTAAACAATATCTGATACTCATAGAAACTGTTCTTCAATGCCCCGTCCCACGGGCCACATCTATGTAATATCCCCTCTAGAACTCAGAAATAGTCAATCAGCTACCCTACACAAACATATCCAGGTTTAAGCCCATGACATCATTCCCAACATCTCCAAAGCGGCTCTCGAAATCTATCTCTTCGCAACAACACGTGCTCGGGCTTGTTCCCTCATATTCGAATACGACACCTGTCAGGTACTGGCAACTTAACGACAAAAACGGCGCCTCAGGACGTTTTTTAAGCAGGCCGTGGGTGTGCATCCGTTTCATTAAGGATCCAAGTGACATTAAGCTACACTCCGGACTGCAAGTCTGCATACCATTGAGCAGAATTTCTCGCCGCTCGTAAAGCATCTTGAGGATGTTACCAATCAACCACTCTCTGCTTTCGTTAAGCTTGTCTATAATACACGTTAGCAACGGGACAGATGTATGGCATACTTCTTAATTCTTTACGCGGTATCACACAAACCTATGATCCTAGCTGGAATCGGCAGGCCCAGACTTGGTATCGGCCCCATGCTTTGCACGATGGTGATCAATGTGGTTCTTTGGAACTCCTTGGCAAGCCGGAAGTACCAGCATATCCAAATCCACAAGATCATATCACGCGAGTATCTCGAGGGCTTCTTGTCCGCTAAGGCTCTGATCCATGCTTCTGAAAAGAATGCCAGCACAAACTTGCACTCATAATAGTCTGTGATCAAGGCAATCTTGGCAAGCATCTCTATAGACACTTTTCGTGGTATAAGATTGTGCTGACAATGCAAGATGCGCAGGAATAGTTTAAACGCCTTCACATCCCACCCATCAGCACTCACCACAACTGAGCCCTTCTCCGTAATCGTAGCGCTCTCCGGCCAGCTGGTACTCAATATGCTCTTGAAGACGGGAGAGGCCAATGCTAAATGCTTGGAAGAAACCCGAAAACGCACGGCTTTTGTCGTCTGTTGCACGGCTGGTGTTGGCTCGCTGGGTGATGATGACCGCTTTCTCTTCCTCCGGTGCTTCTCCCTGGGCCTCCTTGAGTCCTCTCGAGTGTTCTCGACGGCAGGCTGGGGTACCTCTTGCTCGAATTGGTTTTCATCAAAGATGGCGACGGGGGCATCGGGGTTGGTGAGGACAATGTCTACCTCCCCGTCAGGGTCAATGAGGTAGACGAGTTGGTCCATGGTGCTCTCGTGCTCGCCAGATTCCGATTTGGTGATAAAATAACAGTCTTCTCGGCGCCCTGAGGGGGTGTAAAAAGGAGTAGAAAGACTTCATCTTGCACAGTTGCCGAGGGCCCGACGCGCTCTTTATACCTCTCAGCTCAGAGCTGTACTGGTCGTCGACGTGACGTGTTGGCTGTCTTTCCCGGTAGCTCATCTACGTGACGGCCCTTCGCTGGACTTCAGGGCCCGTGATAGGCCACGTTCCATTCTCGCGTTCCAATGCTTGGGCTAAGATGGGAGCTCCCGCCGCTAGTCCGGATCCGGCAGCCCCTTTCAACTCTGTTTTGACCTTTCTTAAACGTCGAAGAAAACGACGGCGAGAGGGAGATGACGACGGCGATGAAGACGGTAGCTACGAGAAGAAGACGAACACTGGAAGATGCTCGGTTCTGTGTGTGTTAGCGCCCTGCGAAGTCGCAAGAGCTTGGGTACGATATGCCTACCTGAGTGTTCGGTAACTAGTTATGGCAAGGGTAACTAGCCTAGCGCCCCCAAGTGAGACCATGGCTAACTAACAGGTTTCGCAGGTAGTCCATATAGACTAATCCCCAGCAGTTAGCTGGATATTTCCCCTTTATTATGGAGCCGAGCATCACGTCTACGGCGTGAGTACATACTGGGCGTAGGGAAGTCACGGAACGGAATTCAAGACACGTTGGAAGTATAATATTCCGTGATTCTACGCATCCAGTTCCTTTTGGCCGCCCTGCATGTCTTCTCCTTTTAAGGGAAGTTTTTATTGCTGATCTCCCACACGTTTACTAGTTATTATTATTGTTTAATTCATGACTACCTGGGAACCCGGCTTCATGACGACTAACTGCTGGTACTAGTGATCCGTCGCCTTAGAGAACCTATCACTGTCAATGTTCCTTAATCGACATAAATACGTACTACCGATGAAGGTGCTGTACTTTCGTGTGCTGTCCTACCTATAAGAGCTTAATATAGCAGAGGCAATATATGCTGCGAACATTTTTTTCGGCATAAAGGACGCCATAGCCACAGTCACCACAAGAATGCCTTATACCACCTCTCCATTTGAATGAGTCCATTTGATTTAAGACCGTCTTACGATGAATTCCCCAGTTCATTCTATAAAGATAAACGGGAAAAAAAAAAAAAAAAAAAAAAAAAAAACAAAAGAAGAAGAAGAAGTCTTCGTCAAGCACTAAACCCACGACTGCAATGAGGATGAAATCTATCATCTTGAGTAGAAAGACTGAAGATATAACATCAGTTTGACCGCCGGCCCAGAATAAACGCCAAGTACTGGATTACCGCTATGGCCGCCAATAATGGCCTTACCACTTTCATCTAACGCTGGGGAAGTTGGTGTTTCGAGTACCGATGCAAATAACTACTTCGAGAAACTCAGTTCCGCGTCGGTGGGTCCAAAGAGCTACTCTGGGTCAACGGTCTAAGGGCAGTTCTTCGCCCTGGCTCGGTGAGTCGGTATATGAATAGAACCTAAGCCTAGACCTTGGATAGTCCCATGTCTTTATACCTCAGATGCCCGCTATGGTGCTGAAGAGAGGAAGATGTTGTTGATGACAACGCTAACTGCTACTGCGTAACTAATTGTAGGGGCCTAGTTTGTGGACAGGGCTGGAGAGCGAGAAGCGTTAATCAATTGCTTCAAAGTAGATTGTTAAGATGGCTTACTCTGACGCAGCAGTCCCCTGGTGTTTGAAGCGATCAATTGACTAACGTCCGAATGGGAAGAAACAACGGTTTAGAAGTGATGCTCGATACCTGCGGCAAGATTTGTATGTTAAGGATGGGGCGATAGATAATCCTCCACCCCAAGGCATGCCCAAGCGAAGACTGGCGCTACCAAGGCAGCAACCGCCAGTATCGACCAGGACAGTGAGATTCATGCTCGAGCCGGTAACTAGTTTTCTTGGGTAACTAGTTAGTTATTTATCGGTATAACTACCTACGGAGCATAAGCATGAGTGGCCTTCCACACCTCCGCCCCATCCCACATCCAATGCCAAATAGTACATCCCAAGGTCAACAGAAATATATCGTAGTAAAGTAGTGTACTCCGTAGTGAAAAGCACAGCTGGTTCTGTAATAGCCGTAGAGTGACCGGCTTCGCTAGTTCGTGAACTAACTATCGATAAGAGTTCAGCTCCAGTAGTTAAGGACGAAGATCTGGATGTCTCACCAACGACACACACGCACAAGCACACACACACACGACCATGGAACAGACACAGCCCGGCCGCGCCCTTTAGAAGCGGACACGGAGACATGAAGAGCTGTCATGGACTTTGTAAGAATCCGCGCCTCCTGACGGCCATCCGCTTCTGCTGACAAGTTTTCGCCGCCAGTGGTCTCGACTGATAGGCGGCGCCGCCTCGGGCTCGTCCAAGGCCCTGCGCAAGAACCCGACTGGAAAACGACTGGCAGCATTCAAGCACACATGCAATACCCTCTACGTACGTTGAGCCGGGGATGCGTAGTGAGAAGTTTTGGCGCTCTAGGGCCATGGGCTAACGGCTGTCGGTAGCAAATATGGCGGAACTCGCCCTCGCTGTCTCCTGAATCGCCCTCGATCCCCTTGATTCGAAGCTCCCTGAACCGCCTCAATTCCATCCTTCGAGACGAGTCTCGCGGGCCGTCGCCTCACCCGTGTCACTCAGACGCCGCTACGTCCCAGGTATACCTGACGGTGACCAAGTTGGCATTGGCAACGCACGATCCGGGCGTGGTCTCGGCTGCGGCTGTGCTGTTGAACACCCTGATCGAGTCTGAGGTGGATGGGATCGTGGACAGCAGCGTCTTCTCGCGTGCCCTGGTCGACCTGGTCTCGCACGGTAATGCCTCGACGTGCATCGACCGGCGTGATCTCGAAGACGGGGAGTCGAAGCTGGTTGAGCTTGTCTTTGGCGTCGCCAACGTCATCCGCCTCCGCCCAGAGATCCTACCGGCCTGGTTCTCGCCAGAGGAAAAGAAGGATGGGTCCGGGGAGCCTCAACGGATAGATCCGTCGTTGAGGGCTGGTAAGGGGTTTGCAGGTGTTACTAGGAGAGACGACTTTCCACTCTTCTATCTGTTGGTGGACTATGTGCACTACGAAGGGAGGACGGGGGACTTTGCCCGGACAGGGCTGCTATATATAATCGAGACTGCATCCAAGGTCAAGGAACTGGAGAGATGGCTTATCGAGAGTGACATGGCTACGTTGATGGCTATTGGACTTGGTGCTTCCTACAGCCAACTCAGCCGGTGTGTAGTAGATATATCGACCCTGAGGATTGAATTTCAAAGACAAAAGAAGCTAACATGCTAGACAGGCTCCTGATATCAACCGACAGCCATGAGGATATCCCGGCTATCATTGCGCTATCAGACCACACTGATCTGGATAACACCGTGCATCACTCGCACCAGGGCCAGCTAGATGCATTTCTCTCCTATCTTTTATTCTGGCAGGACGCCATCGACCATTGCAAATCGCCCGAAGTAACTGACACGCTTCTCGACCACTTCCAGGTCTTGTTTCTCGAGCAGCTTCTGTAGGTGTTCTGTCTAAGTTTTGTAATCTGTTCCCACGGTCTAACTGGTGGTTATAGATATCCCTCGCTGCTGGAATCATCCGACGTAGCAGGCGGTTCTACATCGTCAGTGATTACCTATCTGAGCCGCATACTGGAGTCCATCTACCAGCCGGTCCTGGTCAACCGGATACTAAACTTCCTGCTCGCTTCGCCAGCCAGCGAGCAGCAGCATATCAGGCTTACATCGACCAAGAAAAGCCGTATGTCGCTGAGCCGGCGAAAGTCACTGGATATACTGGCCTCCTTTGCTGAGGCGGCGGCCAAACCATCTCCGACCCTATTCAACCTGGTCGATCTTATCTTGATGGGTATACGGTCGCACAACCGGCAGACCGTTGTGGCAACGCTGCGGCTAATAACGGTTGTGATACAGCACCACCATGAGTTTGCGAATCTGCTGATCAAGTCCGCAAGGGACCAGAGTTCCCATCCGACGGAGCTGCGTACAGTGTCTGCGCTTAACGGAGAGGTGCAACGGCTATTCACATATGCTACGGATCTGCTAGATGATCCGGGTATAGAGCCTTCGTACGAGAACTACATCTCCAGTGCTTTGTCGGTACTCTACCAGCGGATGCACGGTCAGAGCCATGTGGTGCCGTGGATCGTCGACGTCAGGGGAGGAGTGTTCTCGGGGATGCTGGATCTGCTGCGTCGGTTCTTCACGAACAGTGTGGTGACCAACCTGGCTCTGACAAACTCCCTTTCGGCCCTGGCCTCGTCCGACCTGATATCTCTGGACGGCTGGCTTCTGTCTCACCCTGAAGAGCCTGGTTCCAACGGCCAGACAGAGGATTCTGCTGCTACTGCCGCCAACGTCGAGGCCACCAGCCAGACGAAGACCGAGACTGAGCCGGTACTGTCAGCCATCCTTCAGCAGCTTGTCAAGCAGGTCCAGGACTGGCGCACCGAGATCCCAGACTTTGAGCTCTTGCTCTCTGCTCGCCGGGAACTGCTGCACCGCGAGGACCAGTCCGAAGTCACCGGGACCGACACTCAGCAGGGCAAAGACGAGCATCAGCAGTCTGTCTCTGCCGCAGACGAGTCGGAGACGGAGCCAGCACCAGCACCAACAGCAGCAGCAGCAGCAACAACAACAACTACAACTACAACAGCGCCGGCCGGAAGAGAGCCGTCTCCCTCGCCGCCACAGCTCTCGACCCGAGTCAATGTCCAGCCACCGGCCGAATCCTCCTCGCCCTCGCCGGCCACGCTGCACCCCCTTTCGCAAGCGCCATCTTCCTCCCTCCAGGTCGTCCACGAGACACCGGGCTCCAGCACTGCTCCTTCTGAGGCCGGGGAGACTGAAGAGGCCAGCGAGAAAGAGGACGGGGCTTCGCTGAACCATATCCTGACCAACGTCGTGATACTGTACGAGTTCATCCTGGAGATCACCGCGCTGGTACAGGCTCGCGCGAGCGTCCTGCAGGACGTCCGCTTCTAAACACCTACGTCTTTAATACTTCTCTTCTTCGTCTTCTTTCCTTTTTCTTACTGTTTTCTACTCCGTCTTCAACGGTCTGGTCTATATAGAGTGCATGCAAGGCCAGGGATGCAAGAGTGTATCTGCTATAGACTCAACGCATAATCAAGCAAATATACATACATACATATATACACATGGATCGACCTGTGTCTGTTGTAACTATACGCCCGTCTGTCTCTCTCTCTCCCGGTCTATATCTACCGTCTCCCGCCCTGCGTCCGCTCTGCGTCTGCGGCTGCGGCTACCAACATCCCTCCCCCCCCTTTTTCTCCTGCGGCGCGGCGGCCCCTGACCCCTGCGGACAGGCAGGGAAGATATTAATAGAGAACCGGCGTACTCCATCTTCTGCCCTTCGTCTGTCCTGCTGCTATCCCGCGATTCTGCATCGATTCTGCATCGGCATCTTCGTCCCCCCGTCTGCTATAGCTACCTCGCCTGCTCGTCGTTGCGGGCCCTCGCTGTCACTGGCGCATCCTTCGCTCAGCCTCTTCTCGCTTCTCTCGCCTTCACCTCCGTATAAAATTGAACAACATCTCGTCTTCACCACCACCACCCAACCGCCTTCACCACCGAAGACCGTCTTATGTCCCAGCCTCACCAGCCCGCTGATGGACTGTCTGCTGCTCTGCCGCCAGCTCCGTCGCCTCCATGATGCTCTCTCGCAAGCACCGGCCGGCGCCCTCGGTCAAGTCGCTGCCTATCAGCCCTCCGCTGCCCTTCCCGCCCGCCTACTATCACCAGCACGGCCATGAGCACCAGCACCACCACCACCACCACCACGCCAGAGACGCAAAGCAAGCCCCAGACCACGCAGAGATATATCCCCAGATGGCGCCGCGCGACTATCCAGACTATGCGGCCGTGCCAGGCCCTGCGCCGGACGTCAGCCTTGCCGTCGAGCAGTCCTACTTCGACCTGCGCGGCCAGCAGCAGCATCACCAGCACCAGCACCACCAGCAGCATCACCTTCATCAGCATCAAGGACGCCATGAACAATACCCCTTCAGCCCAAATGACTACAGCTACGAGTTCAACAGCTACAGTGCGCCCCGTCTGCCGCCCTCGCCGCCGACCTCTCCGCCCTATGTGGCCGCCGCGCCCCGGGAGGACACGGACAGCTACCCGGCCTCGCTGGCCTCGCTGCCTCGCTCGCTAAAGAGCGCCGGCCACAGGCGGGGGACTCGGTCGATGGGCAGTGCGACGGCCGTCTCGCAGCCCTCGCGGCTCAGCCGGGGCGGCAGCGCTACCACGGACGTTGGACAGGCCTCGGATGTGTCGATAGACCTGACAGACATGCTCTCGGACAAGCTGGACGAGGTCATCAACCATATGGACATGCAGGTCTTTAGCGGCCGCGAGAGAGACCTCTGTATGTTTAGTTACCGCCGTTCTTGTTTGCTATGAATAATACGCTGTTACTGACCGGTGGCAGATCTAGATGTTGATGCTGGCCCGGCCGGCCCTGATGCGGCCTCCAAGACCAGCTCCGGACGCAGCTTTCTGCGCTCTTCCTCCTCAGCCTCCCACAAGACGAACTACTTTGCAAAGGCATACCACTACGCAAACTCCCGGCTGCCACCTAAACTCGTCCCTCTCAATCTGTACATCTCCCTATCTGCTCTCCTCTTTTCTATATACTGACGATGACAGGTTCATATCAACATGGCCGCTGCTATGTCTGGCTGCCCAATCGTCCCAGAGCGCTTACAACCGTCCCTCGCCTGTTGAGCGGGAGACTCACGTCGAAGGAGACCCTTACCTGGGCACCAAGGCCATGGTCATCAAGTCCGTTGCCCTCGATCATATGAATCTCATCGTCTTTGCTGTCAGAGGGACCACCCGCTCCTCCTTCACCGACTGGGCTACCAATATGAATGCGGAGCCCGCAACTCCCACCGGGTTCCTCGATGACCCGGGTAACCTCTGCCACGCCGGCTTCCTTTCAGTGGCTCGAAAGATGGTCCGTCCAGTGGCTATGCGGCTTGAGCAGCTCTTGGCCGAGAATCCCGCTCGATCAAAGTTCTCTCTTGTCATCACAGGCCACTCTGCTGGCGGTGCCGTTGCCAGCTTACTTTACGCTCATATCCTCTCCTCCACCCTGCGTTCGGAGCTGATATACCTCCGTGACCGTTTCAAGCGCATCCACTGCTTTACCTTTGGCTCTCCACCGGTATCCCTGCTGCCGATCAACAAACCGTCAGACCCACGGTACGCCAAATGGCTCTTCTACACTTTTGTCAACGAAGGCGACCCGGTCTGCCGCGCGGACAAGCCATATATCCGTTCCCTCATCAACCTCTACAAGTCGCCTGCCCCTTCAACCCAGGGCAGCAGATCTCGCTCGTCCACGACCAGCAGCAAGCCAAGCAAGCTAGGATTCCTCAAGGATCGTCGAGAGAGCACTGACAAATCCGACTTTGAACCGGAAGTCACCTGGCCTATACCCTCGCCCACTCTCACCTTACCAGGCTGCCTGATCGTTCTTCGTGGAGATAAGCACAACCCTAGAGACAAGGATGTAGTGGAAGCCTACCTGACAAACAACGAGCAGATGGCTGGCGTTGTCTTTGGAGACGTTATGATGCATATGATGACCCTTTACGAGCGGCGTATCCAGCTTCTGGCCACGGATGCCGTTACCGCCAGAGCTGCTCGATGATTTCTTTCTTCATTGCCTTTTTTTTTTTTTTTTTTTTTTCCTCTTCTTTATTTTCAACCACTTTCAATTCATGATATACCCATTCAATTCCATTATTTTTACTGGTTGGCTGGTTGATGAACAATCTGGATCAAAGGACAAAGGACTTTTTCTTCTTTTTTCTTATTTTTTCTGTTGTATTCGATACCCTCACATTCGTTTCTTTCTTTCTCTTTCTTTTTTCTTTTTCTTTCTTTCTTTCTTTCTTTCTTCTTCTTCTTCTTTTTTACCTCTTGCTTTTCTTCTTTCAACCCTCCTATGCCTGGTGCAAGAGCGGCTTTTTTTTTCACACCCTTCTTACTATGGGGGATGGAGTTATACAGGCAAGACAACTACCAAATGACCAGACATGACATGGGAATCGAATCCTAGGATGTTCACGGCACGGTGCATATGCGGAATTCTGGGATCTATTTCCTTTTATTTTTCTCTTACAACCAAATTTCGCGTATATAGCTAGGGACAGGATACACTCAAATTATACATGGAATATGATTAGAAATGACTAAACCCCATTGCTAGGCCAGAATAGTATACATTTTTATATCCCCCCCGATACTATCGAGTGCTAAATGCAAACTCCCTTCTTAGAAGCTGTCGGTTATGCATCCGTGGCTAGCATCTTTGACGCTTCTGGCGTACTTCCCCAGTGTGCCTCTCATAGTCAGTCCGGTAGGCCGGCCTTGACCAGCCTGCTCTCGAGCCAACCACTTCTCCCTACGCTGTGCAAGCACGTCCTCGGCAACATCAAGGTCAAGAAGCCTATTCTCAGCGTCGATCGTGATCTGATCACCGTCCTCAACGAGTCCAATGGGGCCACCCACGGCGGCCTCGGGGACGATATGGCCAATCAAAAAGCCGTGGGAGCCACCGCTGAAACGGCCGTCAGTTATTAGGGCAACGGAGTGGCCCAATCCTGCACCCATTAGGGCAGATGATGGTTTTAACATTTCTGTAAACATATTAGTATACATGGATATAGTTTTAGGTAGAGAGAGAGGGGGAGAGAGAGAGTATACGTGCCTGGCATGCCTGGACCGCCCTTGGGACCAGTATATCGAATAACAACGACAGTCTTCTCGTCCTTCTTGATCTCCTTGTTCTCCAATGCAGCAATAAAGTCGTCTTCATGGTCAAACACTCTGGCCTTACCGACGAACCGTGTGCCCTCCTTGCCGGTGATCTTGCCAACACTGCCTCCAGGCGCAAGACTACCACGCAAGATCTGTAGATGACCCGTTGGCTTGATGGGATCAGAGAGCGGCCTGATGATCTTCTGGTCAGACGGGAAGTCAGGGAACTTCTCAACGTTCTTGGCCAGCGTCTGACCCGTCACCGTGATGCCTGAGCCGTCGATGAGGCCCTCCTTGAGCAGGAATTTGATCAAGGACGGGGTTCCACCGATATTGTGTAGATCAGCCATGACATATTTGCCAGACGGCTTCAGGTCCGCGAGGAAAGGGACCCGGTCACTGACGGCTTGGAAGTCGTCTATGGTTAGCTTGATTCCTACAGAGTCTGCAATGGCGATAAGATGCAGAACTGCGTTGGTCGAGCCTCCAGTCACCGTCACCAAGACCATGGCGTTCTCAAAGGCCTGGCGAGTGAGGATGTCGGACGGCCGGATATCTTCAACCAGAAGGTTCTTGATAGCGCCTCCGGCCGCTTCACACTCGATGAACTTAGCCTTTGACTCGGCCGGGTTCGACGAAGAGCCCGGCAGGGTCATGCCCATCACTTCGATGGCCGAAGCCATGGTGTTGGCCGTGTACATTCCACCACAGGCACCGCCACCAGGACAAGCATGCCGGATGATATCGAAGCGCTGTTCCTCGCTGATCTCGCCCGTCAGAAACTGGCCGTAGGCCTGGAACGCCGAGACGATATCGATATCTGCGTTGCCCTGAGTAGCTGCGCAGCCAGGACGTATGGTGCCTCCGTAGACCATCAGACTCGGCCGGTTGACTCTGCCCATTGCCATGACGACGCCAGGCATGTTCTTGTCGCAGCCCGGGATGCTGATGTTAGCATCGTACCACTGACCGCCCATGACCGTCTCGATCGAGTCCGCGATCAGGTCTCGGCTCTGCAGGCTGTAGCGCATCCCCTTGGTGCCCATGCTGATGCCATCGCTGACCCCAATGGTATTGAACTGGTATCCAATCAGGCCGCTCTTCTGCACGCCGGCCCGTACCCTGTTGCTTAGGTCGAGCAGATGCATGTTGCATGGGTTGCCGTTGTACCAGACGCTGGAGATGCCAACCTGCGCCTTGGACATGTCCTCTGTCGACAGGCCGGTGGCATAGAGCATGGCCTGCGAGGCGCCCTGCGAGATAGGCTGGGTGACATGTCTCGACACGCTGTTGAGCTCGCTTTCAGGCTTCTTCGACGAGGACGAGGCGCTGCGCTGTGCCGTTTGTCTGTGAAGTTCGAGGGCTGTCAGTTAGCTGGCTGGTTGTGACTCCTCCGACTTCGCTTCTGCAGAGGTAGCTCCGGGGAGCTTCGAGAGGCGACTCGAACTCGACTTACGGGAGCAGAGGGAGAAGGGCCCTCGAGGACAGACGCCCGGCACGCTGGATTCGAAGCATCTCGACGGGTTCTCGCGGCGCTGTGAGATGCTTCGTCGGCGTCTTCAGCGAGGTTCGACTTGTTGCGGTGGTTTTTGTTCGTCTTTAACGCCGGCGAGATTATTTATGCGGAGGCGCTGATAGGCCGATCTCGCTGCCTCGCTCTATCTATGAGATGATTCATACTACGGGGAGTCTAGCCAGGGACATGAAGACGATATTTTACATGATGTACCGAGTATATTGTAGCAGTAGATTGACTGAATATACACTGGTGGTCAGGGTGAAGATCGTGATATCAAAGTCCCGGATACTCAGGACCACTACAGGCAGTGTCAAGCTACGGCTATTAGACAGAGAACAGACTAGAATGCTAATTCAACGGTATTGTGCTCTGCTGTGCTTTGCTGTACTTTGATGCTTACCCTTGACAGATATCACTATGAGCCTTCAGGCTGGCCACCACCCACGCTCCGATGGTCTCTCGAGACAGGATCTATCCTTATCTTCGTGAATCTTCATCGCCAACCCGTTGGCTTCTCCTTCACGCCAGCATTCAATCCAAGGCTGATCGCAATGACTGCCTGACGACGATAATCACTCCCTAGCTGTGTATACTTAATCTCTTGGCCGAGATGGACATGTTCTCTCTCGTATCTGCATTCTGCATGCAGAACGACGATCACAACGACTTTTTTTTCAGCAGACAGAGAAGAAGAAGAAGAAGAAGCTCATCGTCCCCGTATCCCCGACTCCTCCATCCTCCTTATCAGGTTCTAAGACTTATAGCACGGCGTTCTATGGCTGCAGCGAAATAGTTTTTCTTGTCTTGTGATGGGCCTATCATAAATTTTATTTCCAAGTAAAGTTAAAATCATGTCCAATGAGGATCAAGGAAACCCATTTTCTTAACTGCAGCTAGCCAATAGCTGCATTGAATCTCCGAGTGTGAACAGATTACTGACCAATAGGAATTTACAATATTTCCGCAACTGCATCCAATAATACGAAAGACAAGAGACAGGCCATCAACATCAATCGAAAACAACATCCAGAAGTGAAGGGGAAAAAAAAAGCCATCAATTGAAAGAGAGATTTGGCAGAAGAACAGACAGAACGAACAGATAACGATTGCACTACCCAGCATGCCCAGGATCTACCTGTGGCTGATGTCTTGCATTATGTTCTCGGCGAGCTTTCCATTTGACTAGACGCGGGGACCCCGTTTAGTTACCGTTAGTTATGCCTGCAGGACCAGTTAACTACAATATTATACCCCTGCTCTATTTTTATAGCCCACCTTCCGATGGGGCCTTGGGACGGACTGCAGATTGCACCTTGCAGTGACGGGCTGATTAGGAAACGAGAATACTACTTGGGACTCTACCAAGGCATGGCAGTGAGATATCGTCCAAGTATCGGCAAAATGGGCTAAGAAACACATCACGCCGGTAGGGCTTCCAGATGATATGGCAATACACAAGATGTAGATATGGGCCTCTATGTGTTCGAAGAAAGATATAAGAAGGCGAGATGCCTTCTTGCCATTCCCTTGTTTTTTCCCCCTCAATCATCCATTCATCAGCCTGAATATACAGTGTTTCCCTCTTAATCTGATATCTAACGGCTATCATCGAACATGCTGAGCTCCGTGGTACGGTTTTCCGTGCTACCAATCGTCCTGGCATGGCTGGTCTTGCTGGCTGGACCTGTCAAGGCGGACAACTTTCTTGCGCACGGTTACGAGAGAGTATTTTTTGGGGCGCATACGAAACTTTCTGGTGAGATGCTCTTCTTACATAGCTAGCTTGCAGCAGTGGTATTCAATGCTTTGATAACTAACACAACATATCTACGGAGTAGTGGTATTGAAGGGCCAGATAAACAACAGCACCTCCTTGGGTTCAAACAGCAAAAAGGCCAGGAATCAAGAAACAACAGAGGTTCTGGCCCCGGGGGCATGCTCACTTACCCCGAGTTCATCGCTAGAGTCGATGACAGACCACTTCCACCAGATCATCCCGTCCTGTCTCATCCCGATCCCCCAGGAAAGGTCGGAGATGCCGTGGCGGATCTGCTAAAGTACAAACTCACTGGTGAAGTGAGCGTCAACGCCCTTGACCCTTCTCTCCGAGGCAAGACTTTCAACAAACCTCCAGGGGGCAAGAAGAAGCCAGGCAGTGGGGGTGGATCACGCAACCTTTACGACCCCAAGGACCCTCACAGAACGGCTTTTACAGTTTTGGTGGATGCACTTGTGAGCGGACTGTTCCAGCACCTCACGAACCCTAGGAACAGGGGTGTCTTCCAAAAAAATCTTCCATTCATGAAAGAAGCCCTCAAGGCAGCCATTATCCTACGCGAGGAAACAACAAATACCTACCTTCTGAAGAAGTTGAGTTCGCCGGTAGGAGATAGCGGTTTCGATCTCGATGTTAAGCTCGATTGGAAGGACTCCAAAGTTCCACTCGGGTCTAGGTACCCCGAATTCCGTATCAAAGAAACCTTTGACGCCAATGGGGGAAAACTTAGGAGGCTTGGCTTCAAGAACGCTGAGGATTTCGGTGACTGGATCAAGCACTTTGGGGATCCTAATTATAAGGGAAAGGTGGAATTCGGACCTGGAGCATTCACTCACCACCGCCTCTTGACATCGTGGAAGGATGCTGACCGCAAGCTAAACCTCTAGTCTGCGTACGGAGGAGAAGGGAAGATCTAAATAGTTAGCTCGCTTTATGGTGGATACAGCAAACATACAATCTTCAGAGTAGCTAGCTACATATGTGTAACGCCATTAACGGACCCGCTTTCATGCCTGAAATACTAATTTAACCCTGCAAGTTTGTTATAAGATCGTCTTTATTAATTATATTTATGACTTAAAATGCTAGTTGGTTACTACCTTGAGGCCTAATTAAATAAATATATATTGAAGCAAGCATACGCTGAAGGACTGTGTTGCTTACTTAGTCAAAGAGTACTAACTACTGCGAGTTTGGTTAAGCTCTATCTTGTTACAACTACTTACTCTATCACTAAAGCAGTGAAACCAAGTAACTAACTACGGGGGGAGAGCGTTTCTGCCTGAAGAACGCCCCAGATTTAAGTCCGGAGCCAGAAATACAAATGTCAGACAAACCAGAGAAGCCAAATATGCCAGAGATAACACAGTCTGTTGAGACTCCAGAGGATACCAACCAGTCGGATCCAGAGTCAGAGCCATATTCGGATTTGGATGGACGCCCATATAGCTACAGACAGTGCGTAGCCGCCTTGCAGGCTGAAGGCGTGCCCAAGGATCTCTCCTCCAAGACTGCTCGATGGTGCGTCGTTCGAGGAATACGGACTTCCTATGAATATGCAACAAGCCCTGGAGTGAGCCGCATATGCGACGACATGACCATACCTCAATTTGCACGCGCACGCAACGCACGACTGATAATGAGCAACGTCATCCCTGAAGGGATGGAGGATCCAAGAGTACAACCGTACTGCATATGGATTCCAGATTGTGCCTCTGCAGATACCTATCGCAAATTAGTGCATCGGTATCCTGCTATGTTGTACCAGGTTGGTCGGGCTTGTGGCGCTGCCGGATATGCCGATCTGTATAAGGAGCTCGTTAAGGGTAAGTCGATAGTCTCTTCATATACTGCCTGTCTTTTTTTGCAGAACTGACATTTTAATATAGATTTCAAGCTGCTTCCTGAAGTTTCTATTGCCGAAGAGGCGCGGGAAAGCGGAACTGATGGTGGCCGCGAGATCTACCGCCTGATACTGGAGTCACCTATTAAATATACGGTATTAGATGACAATACTCGTGGCATCAATGTTGATAATCCACGGTTTCCAGCCTATCTGAACGGAGACACGGCTGTGCGGTGGAAGGTAGAGCCCCGCGGGGATCTCCTGGAAGACGGAGAATATGACCAGGGAGATCAAGATATCGAAGAAGACAACAGGCTCGATGTAGCGGCTGCTTACCTAGATGATCAGTACAGGTGTCTATCCGCAGAAGAAGCCAAATGGTTCTACCAACCTCTCCCGGCTGATATTCCAACAGTAAAGAAAGAACTCCTGAGAGATATGGCAGCATACGAGGGCAATATAGATCGATACCACCGACTGATGGAACCCCAGGAAATGACTCACTCGGAAGTAACATGCGTTACCCGCGGCATATACCATAATACCATGTTTGCACGGTGGTGGATGGACCAACTTGAGATGAACACAAGCCGCATTCCGAAGCAAGACGTCTGGAGAATACGGTCGGCCATCAATGCCCGCCGGATCATGATAAACGATATCTCTGGCTTTCACGACGAGATGGAGGGCAAGCCGTATCTCATTTGGTGGCCTCTCAAACCCCATCGGAAATGTCTCGAGGCTCTCGCTAAGAAGTGTCCGTCAATGCAGGAGCAGATAGCAATCGCATGCATCTTTTGCGACTATCAAGATATATATCAATCTATCAATCCTGTGCCACATTGGCGTATTCGTCTTGCAGCTACGAAGAACCCTAATCCGTTCTATCTAGCTGATATAGACAAACGAGCCTCGGAACAAGGCATTGATGTCACAGAACGCCCTGGTGAACGAGACGGTAAGAAGGACAGTTTGAGCAGCGACATCGAACCTACCTCGATGTGGGTAGAATCACCCATCAACGAGTCCACAATGGTGAGCCGCTCACCAGACTTCCATCCATACTTTGGAAGCAGAGTGGAACCAGGCATCATTGAGAGATATGTGTTCAAGTCGCCGGAGGTTCTTCAAAAAATCGAGGCGCTACGCACTCGATGCTTTGGAGATGATACTGATCTATTGAAGGAGTAGACAGGTTTTAACGGTGGCCGTAGAATAGCGCGATAGTTAGCTTGTCAGCTTTTTTCTGTACTGCTTTTTCGCCATGCTAAATTAAACAAATTGCGCTACATTACAGGTCCTTGGTAATGCTGGAGGTCAGGCAAGTCATGGTTCAGTTGAGCCTCATTAACTCGGAGCCGTTGGTGATTAAAGTTCCAAGGTTACGGGACGGTCCGATGCAAGGTCATCTCTCCGGCCCAAGCCTCTTGGTCCAAGCCCCCAAATTAGTTATCAGAGCTTGCCCAGACCTACCATTGCAAAACAGACTGCCTAATTATTTAGTCTGAGAAGCTTTCATTTGACAGGAGAAATACTTCCATCGACCGTATCTACCCATGATTAACCTAATACATGATTAACATAAAACACACAAAACGCAAGTCTCTTGATATTAATATTATTTACTTTATAGTACATATAAACTATTTTACAGACGCTTATGAAGCGAGTGATGCATTGCTTCGTGGTAATTATCTGGACAAAAGGGACAAAATATGAAAAGGTGAAAAGAGAAAAGAAGGTGAAGGTAAAAGAAAGGGCAAAGAGGTATAAGAAATACAGCGAGCGTCATATCGAAAGATGCCGAAGAAAAGAAGTGAAAAGTGAAGCGAAGTAAAGTAAAAGAAGTAAAGAAAAAGGGGGTAAAGAAGAAGTGAAAAAGAAAAATAAAAGAATAAAGCGGAAGGGGGGGGGGGGGGGGGGGGGGGTTTTCAAACCAGTTGTACAAAGTAGTTAGAAGAAGAAACGAAGTGAAAAAAAAGTAAAAAGAAAAATATTTACCCATCTCGACTCGTTCGTTCAAGGAACCTCGACATCACCGCGTCTCAGAGGCAGGACATCAGCCGCAATAGCATTCTTAATCCATTCCATATCAGCCACTTCGTCAAGATGCGTACGTTTACTTCCACGTTTCAAAAGACCCTCGACACAGCGCCGGGGCCCCTCGAGGTCTCTCCCTTTGACTGGGTCCCAGTCCCCGTCTGGATCTGCATACCGGTACCAACTCCATTCACAACGGGCGATACGGTGTGGAGTACGAGCCCGAAGTTTAGCTGGGTCTCCCCTAGTGCCAGGCAGAGGGTCGAATGGTAGACGATTTTCCATGATGGCATAGAGGAGAACGCCAAGAGCCCACGCGTCAGTTGACCGGCCATCGTATGGTTGGCCCATTAGGATTTCAGGGGCAGCGTAGTCTTCACTACCGCAGCGGGTGCGTAGTAGAGGACTCTCAGGGGGTTGTGGGATGCGCCGTGAGAGACCCAAGTCCGTCAGCGTTATGACTGCACGAGGATAGTGTCGCCAGTCAGTAATTTCCTGCATTTTGGCAAATGGCATGTTCAACAGGACATCTATAGAAGTCAGTAACTGCACATAACCAGTGCCATCTTGAGTGACAAATGAATAAACTCACTTTCCAACTTGATATCACGGTGGACAATGTGATTTCCGTGGAGATATCTGACTGCATCGACGAGCTCGGAGAAGATTCTCTCGATCAGCGGAGGATTAATCCGCTTCATCCGCATGCTGGCGAATTCAAATAGGTCGCCTCCAGGGCAGTAGTCAAGGACCAAGAGGGCTCGTTTCGGGTCACTTCCAAAGGCTTTCAGCTGGACGATGGACGGATGATCGATAGATTTGAGAATCTCCACTTCCCGATTGAGCGAGACCTCGACACGCTCCTCGTCCGCTCCTCCAGCCGGTCCGTACTCAACAATCTTGACGGCCACAAGACGGCGAGTCTGGGGATTAACTGCTCCGTCTTCCTCCCGGGATGCAAGGACAACCTGGCTAAAGGCTCCCTGGCCCAGGAGTTTTTGCCAGCGGTACCTGCGAGGCTGCTTGGACCTAATTGACTGGACTTCGTAGACTTCACTATCAAGTACACCAAAATCAGACGGCTCCAGGGCAGACGTGGGCGTAGGGAGCGGCGGTGGCAGGACAGCTATACCACGCTGGGCAGCCAAGTATTGCTCCCTCTGTATATTCGGACCGGGTCGTCCATCCCTCGATGCATCCCTGTCCCGGGCCCGAGAGGCCGCCTCAGACGCAGCAGCCTTGCGGGTTGGGGGATGGACCTGGAGAGCTGGCGGGACATACTCGCTCAGGCTGCGGTTGCGAGTATGTCTGTGATCACGCTTGGGGGCCGCGAGCTGAGACGGGTTGGTAGTGGTCTCTGGGGAGGCGGGTGTAGCACTAGATATCGAGGCGGATGCTGGCTGGACCGGCCTCGGACGGGCAGTTGTCAACGGCGGGGGGAGATGCAGCTCGCGGCTGGAGGCTGTTGAGGAGACGCGGGACAGCGAAAACGTGCTGGTCGAGCCCCATGGAGGCGAGGCCAACAGCTGTATGGGCGAGGGCAGCGGAGTGAGATCGCTGAGCCCGGCGAGCTGGGGCGATGAGAAGGCAGAGCCAGGCGAGAGAGAGCCGGCACTCGAGTGCACTTCGGCCAGCGCATGGCGGATGCTGGGGATTCTGCGTGGCAAGCTGGCCGTCGACCGGCTCAGATGGAGATACTGGTCGAACCCGGCGCCCTGCGGGCTCTGCAGGTGCTGCGGATGCTGTTGATGCTGGTGCTGGTGCTGGTGCTGCTGCTGCTCCTCCTCCTGAAGGTGACGCTGCTGGTCTTGAGATACGGGTTGATGGAGATACTGGGGCGGCTGGTGGACAGATGGAATGTCCGTACGCAGCTGCAGCAGCACCGGCGGCCGTGGCGTCACTGGGCTCGAATCAACTATCGGCGCCAATGGCGTCTGCTGGCCCTGCTGGCCGTTGTGGTGCTGCTGCTGGCCTGCTGCAGACGCGCTGGCATCGCCTCTGGCCGGCGGACATGTCTGCAGCGCCAGGTGAGGGATGAAGGGCAGCGCAGTGGGCGAGGTCGCGATGCCCGAGTCACGAAGACCCGGATGCGACGGCGGGAAGTCTTCGGGCTCAGCCTGCTCTGGACAGCCGCGTGGCTCTACCATGGAGGTGGAGGATGGCATTCAGCGGCGTGGAGGGCTCTGTCACTGGCGCGGGCAGCAGGACTGGCGGGCAGAGGCCTGCGAGAAGGGTTGGTTCACAGTAGGGCCAGAGAGAGCAGGACTCTTTTCCAGAGGGGCAGAGGAGTTTTTCTCTCTCTTTCTCTCTTCTTAACTGTCCTCAGCCACAGGAAAGGCGCGGAGGCGCTAGTTGTGATAGGATGCCCAGCTGCAGCAGAGGCATTTCTGCACATCATTCGTATTGCTATAGCACAGCAGGTAAGATCACAAGGCATCCTCTGTTAACCTCTGCTTAATTTACTTTTACTCTTTTTCCTTGGTTTAGCCCATTAACAGCAATAATACTTTTGGCTAGCTAACCCTAACTAATTGCGCCCTTTCTGCCTCTTGACTGCTGCATCCCTGCTGGGCCAGAGAAACCAGACAGGGATCCTCCGCAATAGGAGCCTCTTTCTGCCTCTCCAGCTATGCATTCCCTTGCTCTCTTGCGTTTCTTTTGTCTCTCCTTTTTCCGTTTCTCTCGTTTCTTTTCTCTGCCGTCCTTCTTTTTTTTTTTTTTTCCCGTCTTTTTTTTTTTCGCCCCCTAAAGATATAAAGTTTTTAAGGTTTAAAATAGCCGCGAAACCTTAAATACTTTATTTTTATTTCTTATTTTTCACTTTTTTTTTTTACTCATCATCCAACAGCGGCTGTTTTGTAAATTCCTGCCGTGGTTCAGTTCTTTAGACGAGGGTGCAGAGCGTATATGGTAGACCTGTCGACGTGCTCGAAGCCATGCTCTGCTGCCCAGGCCTCCGTCTCAGCCTCGACGCGGAAGATCTCCTCCTGGTCTCCGGCAATCTCGCCACTCTGGGTTCCAAGCAGGATTCTTCTGTACGGCTCGGGCTGCGTCTGGAGCTTGGTCTCGGGGGCTGGATCTGCTACCAGCATCAGATGGTGCAGCATCTCTTCCTATCATAAAATATATACCCTGTCAGTCTCTCTTCCAATCATGCTTTTTTGCGCTGTAGGGAACCTACTCGACACATCAGGACTGTCATGGGCCTGTGTTGGGTTTGCCTCTCCTTCAAGCGTTCAAAGTGTTGCGGCGTCTCAAGTCTCTTCCAGCCTTCCTCAGTCTGATTAACCACGCTCTGGCCAGCTGGTACAAGCTTGTAGAGCCATTGACTCTCGCTTCGCCTCTTGCTCATCCTTGGTATGCCACTGCCAACCATAGCATCAACTCCGCTGCCCTCGCATGAAGCCAGGCTATACTCTCGTGTCTTGCTGTCAAATTCAGCCAGAGTGCAGTTAGCATCCACTGGGACCTCCTGGCTCAGCCATCTACCATCCACCTTGCCAAACACCACCCGATATACCCTCCCTTCTGGTGGTATCTTCCGTCTGGCCTCAACCAGCCTGTCAAGCTTTGCATATGCTTCCTTATTCCCCGAGTCGTGTCCTTTGCCCAGCCTGTCGACCTCTTCCCGGGAGACTCCGGCATGTAAAAGTTGCTTGTTGATCTTCTTCACTGCTCCCGGAATCAGCTCGCTGTGCTTCTCTATCATCTCTTCCACAAAGTTTGGAGGGCACGACTCGTCTTTAAAACACGCTGCCACTTGGTCAAAATCTTCAAGTCGCGGCATATTGTGCCATTTCCTCTGCGAATTAAACGCGTCTGATGGCAGACTGGTATCTCCCAGCTCCACATTGCTTCCCCAACCAACGACTCCCTTGTAAAACCCATCATGCCAGAGCCATTTGATCATGTTTCTTACGGTGGGCCGCTTGTCCGGCTCGGGGACCTTAGTAAGTGGTTGTGAAGTTCTCGTCAGCATGTTTAATCCGGAATCAGCCTATTGATGACGCTGCCCGTAATTTGTTGCTATTGATAAATTGATAAAACCAGTTGCAGTTTTATTTCTGGACACGGCAAATGCTTGGGGAAAGCGCAAAGTAGACTTTGGGAAGGCGGCACCTTCATGAGTAACGCGGCAAGGAAAGCTCGAAGGTGATTGTTGGAGACAGTTGGTTCCTTCCAAGAATAATCCTGAGGAAATGTATATATTTTGTATATCAAGACACAAGGAGCAGCCCAACCAACTGGCCGGCGCCGTAAACAAGACAAGAAGAACAGGAAAAATGCCTCTATATGTACAAACCAACCACGCATTAAACCACGTTTCCGTTTTTATAAAAAGAGAGGAAAATACTAAAAGTTGAATACCGCCCACACACGCCAGAGTGGAAATGGATCTGCCATGCGCTCGGAACTGAAATATGGTAATACACGGGAGGGTGGAAGATAGAGAGAAAAAAGTCGGGCGAAGGGGTAGCTGGAGAGTATGGCTTTGTATTGCATGATGTTCATGATATATCATGCATTCTCGGTTCGGTTATCGAAATGGATTATCGTGCGGCAAGAAAACAGACGGTCGTTTAGATATGGGGGCATATATTATATGGCATGCGGGAGGGTGTATTTCGTCAATCCCTCCCCAGCTTAGGAAAAGAAGACACGTCGAGATAACTATTCAAAAGCACGTTAGAATGAGATGTTTCCGATATACGGGCAGTTAAACGAAAACATACAGTCCAGGCACCAGCAATGCTAGCTACAATGGCTCCAGAAATCATCATCGGTCGAACCCCCCTGGTGCTCTTGAAAAGCATGCCGCTCAAAGCTCCGGCAACAATGCTGTTCGCCGCATCATGCTTTCCTCTCACATGGCCGATTGTCGAGTTCACACCGTTATATACCAATGCAACAACGCCTGCAGAGTTACCCAAGAACGGGCCTCGCCGGGTCACCGAGTTAAGCACGCTGTTAAGACGCAGCTTCGGTGAAGCGGAAACTGGCGATCTCTTCAATCCTTCAATGAGGCCCCAGGCACCTCCTGTCGTAAGGGCAATGAGATATGTTGTTCCAGTACCGTAGCTGAGATCATCAGACCACCCTCTCGATGGCAGAGCAGATTGGGAGCCAGGGAGGTCACTCAACGCCGAGTCTTCGAGGGTCAGGTAGTCCAGGGTGTCTTTGTTCAGGCCAGCGAGAGGATGCAGCTCCGAGGGGTCAGGGATGGCAGTGCTGGAGAGAAACGAGCTGACATCTGTAGCGGAGCTTGGATCGAATTCAGCGGTTCCGGTCGTCTTCTTCCGGCCTGAGAGGGAGTCCCAGATAGACATGGCTGCGGATGTAAATTAAAAAGTTATTTTGAAAAAAATAATACAATAATGAAATTAAAACAACGTCTCTGCGCAGGCCGCGCTCCTATTAACTGGTGAACTGGTGGAATTGCTCGTCGGATGTGCTTCTTCTCCGTCTGTTTCTTCCGTTTCCTCGTCTTTCGACGTCAAAAAGCGAAAGAGAAAAAAAAGTCGAGATACCGTCACGTGAGTGCTGATCGAACTAAGTCACGTGATCTTATCGCGATTTTTAAGATAAAAAAATAAAATAAAATAAAAAGCATCAAGAAATGCGGCATGAAATTTGATATTTGATAGATGAAAGGGAAGATGGGCTCTACGATGGCTGATCATGGGCCAGAAGAAAAGATATTGCCCGTGAGGAGCAGATTGAACCTTGATGAATATATTTCAACAGCCAAGGAGGCTCCAAAAATTATACCCGAGTCCGATTTGAGAACCCTTACTCAAGGCCCACTGAAACGCCTGCTACTAGAAACTGGGAATTATGAGTGAGATATAATCTGGACCAGGCAAGAATACATGTTTAAGACCGGCTGTTAATTTGTTCCTAGAAAATCACTTTCTCTGTGGAGATGTCTCTTTCATACGCTGGAGGACACAACACTCCCTATACCCCACCAGGCTTCCGTGTGCAACGCTATATGTGCATTTCTAGAGGCTGCACTAACGGCAAAAGGCTCAGAAGTGTGCCAGTTTGCTCGATCTGAAACAACTTGGCTTGCCGTATTTGAGGTATACCTCGATCGGTTCGAGTACAGCCCACCAAAGCCTATGAAGCAGATCCTAGCCACTCTCACAAATATTCTAGCCACTCACTCCGATCCGGATACTGCAGGCTCTATCCGCTCTTATTTGATTGACTCAGTGGTGAAGACCATTTTACTAGCCGAACCCTTGACCAGGCTAAAGGCGTCAGTGGTTTCTCTTCACTTTCTCATTCGAAAGGAGGCTTTCCCCGCTGTAGATCTAATCAGTCATTTACAGAAATGGCTTCGAGCCAATGTCAACAGCTGGACTCCAGTTATAGGTGAGCATGCAACCAACATTGGCCTCAACATCTCTACCTTTACCGGTAGCGGACCCTCAGTCTCCGTGGAGGAGCAGGGTACGATAACCGCGCAACTATTATGTCTAGTTCTCTTACTACATCTTCAAAATGCGAATGTAGTCACTTCTTCCGGTGCCCTTCTCTCTCAACTATGTTTCAAGCTGAAAAAGGAGTCTGAAGATGGCCTGTTCCAGTATTCTGCTCCAGGAAACGGTGCTCCGTTTTGGGCTGCTCCCCTCAAGTATTTATCACTTCGGAACCTTGACAACCTTGATGCAACTATAAGCCTCGCTTTTCATTTACTTTTCAGGGGCCAGCCAGCTGAATTTTCGTCTTTCCTCGACGTTCTGCCTCTCAAAGATTTGCTATCAGAAAACCATGGCGAGACTGGCACTGCTGAGTTTGCACTTCTTATCGCCGTTCTTGAAACAGGAAAGGAGCTAGGGCTAGTACATGAAGATCGTGCGTATCATTATTCACCCCTTCGACTCGTTAGTTATATCATCCGTCTAACCTAAGCATAGAAGCTCCCAGTTCATCTTCCCCGGACAAACTTCTAGTCCTTGAAAGCCAAAAGCTACGGCTCCTTTTAATACATTCAAATGCCAAAGTCAGAGTGCGGGTCCTATCTTTGTTGATATCTGCACCATCTACCACCAAGCCTTTCTCTTCCGATGCTCTACTGATCCTTAAAGAAATGATACCTTTCATCCACGCTGAGGCAGATGCTCATGTCCGAAGCGAGCTTGTTAGTATGATCCGGAAACTTATTGTTCGGCTCAGAGGCGGCTCGTCAACCTGCCCGCTAGCTCCAGGAGCGGATGCGAGAGAACAGGGGTCTACACACCTTGATGCACAATCATTTATATCTTGGTATATAGATTTCCTACAATCCGAACTTAGACCAAACGCCTCTTATCAAACGCATATTCTTGCTTTGAAAGCGTTAGCAACTATTATCCAATCCGGCCTTGACCCCAGAATTGATCCCACGAAGCTCTCAAAAATTGGCAGCGACCAAAGAAATTGGCCGTTTTCCAGGGACATATTCACATTTAGCCTTTTCAGGGCACTGGGGGATTTACTAACCAATCCTTATGAAGAAATCCGAATGACCTCCCTCTCATTACTTGGGTTATTCCCGGCCTCCTTCCTAAGGCCCCAAAATATTGCCGACACTGGTTCTGGTATCGATGGAAGGACGCGTCGCCACCCTTATAACCAACTATTGGATGCACTAGCCAGGGCAGAGGAGATGGCAGGCCAAACAAGCAGAGCTGATCATGCTGATGGCGTAGCCCGCATCTATCATTTCTTATTTGATCTGGCCGATACCGGGCGTTGTCCTGGGCAGCAAATAACTGTTTACGACTATAAGTATGATATAGTGGATTCAATACTCACCAAACTAGAAAAGGTCACATCCTTATCCGATATAACGACATTGCGTAATACTCCTATTCATGGCCATTTATCTGCACTAAGGTTCGTACCCCCAGTTTTCGATACTACCACCGTATAGCTACTCACCAGTCTCAGATACATAATGGCAAGCCCTAATTTTCATTCAGTTATATCATCTGAAAATGACTCCGAGCCGGCTTGGAGGCATGTGCTGAACCGGACTCTCCTTCTCTGTGAAACAATGTGGTCGGATGTTCAGGCAGTGCTTTGTGTTGATTCTCCCGAAAGGGAGCATGGAAATTCTTCCGTTGACCTATTAGGCCCTAAAGACATTCTATCTTGCTGTTGGCGTGCTCTCCGTGAATCTAGGTATGACTTGCGTGTACGAAATACTCTTCTATGGACGACATACTGACTGCCGTTAGCCTACTTTTGAATGCTATCCTATCAAATACCTCATTTGCTCCTTTGGGGACTCGGGAGGGTCTGAACTATGATGAGTTTGCAAGGGTTGGCAGCCTTACATTTTCTCAGCTAGCAGAACTACGCCATCGGGGTGCATTCAGCGCAGTCTCCCAAACATTTGTCTCTTGTTGCCAGAGATGTAGTGTTTCGAAGGAGGATGCCGTTGCCGAACTTCCTCAAACTTGGTTTAAGGTGGGGGAGATTCGCTGATAATGTCGCCATATACAACGTATTAACGTATCTGATAGGAAATATTGAGCACTATACATGGTCAATCGGCAAAACTTACCCGTCGGTCTGCAGGGCTCCCTGCGTTAGCTCTGGGCGTAGCATCGTCTGCAAAGCGGCAGTTCTTCCATGAAATCATGGAAAAGCTCCAGGACATCGCCAAAATTCCGCCAACTTCCGTCTCGGAACAGGTGGATGTAAGGCTTCCACAGGTCCACGCCATGAATTGCTTAAAAGATATATTCACTGCAACGAATCTAGCCACAGTGACAGAAGAGTACTTGATGCCGGCACTGAGTATCTCTGCTGAATGTCTCGGTTCTGAAATGTAAGCCCCTTCCCCTTAGGCCCCACTGTCATCAATGGGTTAGGTATTAATCAATTTTAGATGGGCTATTCGGAATTGTGGTTTAATGTTATTTCGATCGTTGGTTCAACGAATGTGTCGACGAACGAACGGAGTTAACTTGGGATTTGGTATCCCTAATGACTCCGAACCGAAGCAACTCATCCCTTTTCAGAGATTCCCTGGCCTGATACCACTTCTTACCGGTCTTCTTGAAAAGGGGGCGGCAAAGGGTTCCTCTGATAATACGTTATCAGAGCAGCTATCGATTACCACTGAAAGAGTATTTCCTGCTTTGGAACTTATCGGAAACAAGTTCCCCTCTCCTGCTACAAGTGAAGATGAGCGCATTCTAGAATCAGTTTCATGGCAGTTCGACAGCCCTGTGTGGGGAATTCGTGATCATGCTGCAAGGACATATGCCACTCTCGTTGATAGAGACGATATACTTTCGGTCATATTAAAGTTATCTGAGACATCGATACAGGGCCAGAACCAGCTACACGGAATAGCTTTATGCATCAAATATCTGCTTCGTCGCATATGTGCTGCGCCTGTGGCATACTATCAATGTAAGCGATCCATAACACTATTTGATATACATAATACTAAATATCTTTTAGCATTACTCCCTGCCATCGTCTCCACCACTGAATCAATGTTTACCAATTTAGGACGTCATATATCCTCTCCTTTTACCCTAAGGGAACTCGTTGAGGTTCTCAACGACCTCTTACAGAGTGGAATGACAAAAGGAACTGAAGGTAAAATGTATTGTATACTTCTGTCTTTGTTCCTAGCTGACGTGTAACTCTAGATACTATTGTCGACCATTTCGATGCCATATCAACGTGCTTACATATGGATAAACACTATCAAAATATCATATCTAACCCAAAGCCTGGCTCTCCAATGGAACGATCGTCATATCTCCTTCTGGAGAGTATCGCCTTTAGCTATTTAATGATAGGGGCCTTGCTCAAATCGCCAATTGACGACTTGGCTCAGTTTATCCAAACTGTCTCAATCGTTGATGCTGATATTGTTGCATCCATACTAGGGCGGTTTTCCATGGCCTCACTCGGTCACTTGAGCTCTCGTAGTGACCGGTTAAAGCTGTATTGCCGCATCATCACAGATAGCCTTGCGAAGGATACTAGGTTAGCTGCTATATCGAGCCTTTCGGATGAGCTTGAAGCAATTCAGGAAAGTGCAGAAGAAAGTCATGCGGCCTTCAGCGAACTCGGCTTCCTGGTATCATGGTCGTCTACGCTCCCCATTTCAGAGAGCCCCGGTGAACCTCTATGGGGCCGCAAAATGACCGATGCAACCATCCAGCTTCAAGGATGTCTACTTTCATTATATATTAGGCAAAACCCCAACATTCTAAGCTCCGACTCTACCTTTGTAGAACGTTTCAATAAGCTTGTCCAGCAGTTATCAGTTTCGATGCGAGATGAGACAGTGAGTGCAATTTACATGTTGTTAAGTATGAACTTACTCTAACCACTAATTAGGTGTTTACAACGAGATTTGCGGCTGTAACTTCTTTAAACTCTTTGGTTATAGGCCTAAGAGCTGCAAAGATACAATTTCCCGTAACACCCATACTCATTGATGTCATGTTTGTGCTGTACGACATGCTCAATGATGATGATGTTGAGATCCGAGAGGCAGCCACTCTTGTAGCCTCAAAAGCTCTCGCGGATGATTTGACGGTTTTCAGGCTTCCCGCTGCGTCTGCCTCTGCCATCGCAGATTTGTTAACCTGCCAATACCCGGGGTCCAGTCGAGTATTTGAAGGTGCTCTTCAACGTTTCCTTGGAGCGCCTAGTCAGCAACGACTGTTTGTCCCTGTGGCTGAGACGCTAAACAAGGCTATCAATGAATCAACAGCGTTGTTCGCGGAGGAGAAACAAAATCTTTATATTGATGAAGTTAGGGAGATCAAGTTATGGAGCCAGCATCTTATCCAACTTGAGAAGGCCGCCATAAACTGCTCTCTATATGAGCATTTCAGCATATGGGTGATGGATGGACTGGATTCTCTAATCCAACTAGCAGCAGACAAACCCAACGACTCTCTGCTGGGCTGGACATCAAATATAGATGTCTTTGTGACTGGTATTCGCATTCTTTATGGAGCAAAGGTCCTTCTACTCACACATAGATCAGTTTCTATAGATGTCAACACTATAGAACTGACCAACAAGCTCCAGGCTCTTTATACCTGCACATGCACCTCAGAGTTGAATCCAGCTTGGGGCTCTCTTCTAGAGGGTTTGTTGGCAGAGTTCAGGACACCTTCATCATAGAAACATGCGCAACCACTGTGTTGCCGCGGCGATGCTATTTTATAGGTATACAGGCGGCGTCAACAACATGATTATCCTGATAGAATATTCATTCTCACTCTTCTCTGACTCCTATCCTTTGATATTCATCTACCACAAGGGCCTGATCTATCGACTATCCACCTCCGGTAAGGTAAACCGTACACCCTATCCTTAGCATCGACGACTAACCGCAAGGACAGACAAGAACTCCCCAAAGCGTTCCTAAGAAGCAGAAGTTTTACCTCTTCTACCAACCGGTAGGTCTCATTCAATCTAACCATAAGTCAAAGCTAAACTGACCCCATAATATGAAGCAGACAAGATCTTCTAAAATGACGGAAAACTACGTGATAGTTGTCCTTCTTCTGATGACTCCTGTGATGATTCTTATGCTATGGAAAATTGGCAGACGCATCCTGGAGGCCATCAGACATGGTATTCTTCTGTCAAGGATGCAGCAGGAAACCCGAGAAGAAGAAGCCGCTCGGGTTGCGCAGGAGATCCAGCAGGCTGAGCAGCTTGCTGAGCTCAGTGCCATGATGGCCGCACATCGAAGCTGCCGTCACCAGCCGGTTCAATATCGTGCTCCTCAACCTATTCAACAGCCTCAGCCAGCACATGTAGCATGTTAAAAGGAGGTCATGCATTACAGCTATCGGTATTAGAAGTTGGGATAGGACCCGGTTGGCTATTGAAGTCCAGTTTGACCAGTTGGAGAGGCTATATTTTCAGGGGGACGTGGAGATAAACCTACAAACATTGTGCTTTCTTCGGTGCGTTTTGATGTTCAAAGGGATATGAAGGAAGATACCCGTTTCTGTCCAAACAACAAACATTGGTGGACTTGATGAAACTCCTTTGAAGCGTCTACTCTACAGGCAGCTCGATTGTCTGGAACCCACAAAACGACTTGTTTGTCCTCTTATATGAGTTGATACACACAATCAAGTACCATTCACTCCTTATATCCTCCATAGCACTGTCTAATATTACGTCTACACTCGTCTTCTATGCATCGCTTTGCTGAACACTACTCGGTAAAAGATCTGTCTCATATTTTGCCTTGGATAGCTCAAGGGTGCTAACACCAAATCGACTCTAGCAAAGGAATCACCGCGAGAATATAAACCAGCCAATATGCCGGCAGTTCTTCTAAGGCAATATCGAAACGAGACACCACCGATTCCATCTCTGGCACCGCGAGAGTCTTCCACAGACTGGAATTCGTGGACATCAGCGCAGCAAGGAGGAGTCCTCGCGGCTTCCCTGCTGCTCTTCCTCTTCTTCTTCGGCCTGGGTACTTTTCTCTGGCAACGCCGTCGCGAAAGGAAACGAAAGGAGAGACGGGCGTTAAAGTCAAGGAGCCGAGGAAGACACCGCCATTCGAGGAAGCGCTCAGGGCCAGACAGCACATCTCCACCACGGAAGAAACGGAAGACAAAGCGTGTCAAACCCAAGCAAACGGGAGAAGAGACAGGGGAGGATAAGTTTCTCATGAAGGGGGCGGTGGAAACGCCTAAAAGGACGACCAGGCAGCAACAGCCGGCTGAGAACCAGGACACGCCGGACAGAGCGAACGATAAGGCAGACCAGTTGGAAGAGGACAGGACGGCAAACACATCACTCGACAGAGCCAACCTGCGGCTAAAGAGAAGAAGAGAGAGAAGACGCGAGGCCCGTCGTAGAGCGGCTTCGGGGTATTCGTCTTCTGCCCGAGCAGCTCTCAGGGGCCGCTCGAACGCTGCCGCGAGGCCAAAGCAAGCGCCAGAAACACCAGAGAGGAGTTCGTGACGCGCATCTAGACAAGGTATCCTTATCCATAGACTCAGATAGACTGCTAGACACTGTATCTCTTGGCCATGTTTGCTGCTCGCTGTATTGCTCCTCCTCCTCCCCCCCTTTTCGCCTCCCGCGTCTATGCCTGCTGGTGATGTCATGGGCGGGTGTCGTGGGGAGCCGCGCGCCAAGAGCGTCAACTTCCACCCTGTTGCTGCCAGACGTGCATTGCTTAAAACGACCGGCTGGATGCCATGACTACCGTGCAACGGCCATCAGCCTATATATCCAAGCGTTTCGCCGGCATTTCACAAGCAGCGCCGCATTGGATATCTCGTGCTGCGACAGTCCGCACGACTCCCGCCTCAGCTAGCCAGCTAACTAGTTACCGGCTGCTTATATTCACGGCTGCCTGTACTGCGCCTTCCGGCCCGCCAGCCTTCGATACACCGTCCATATAAATACCGACGACGGCCTTCAAGATGTGGAACGATGAAGACAACAACCCGTACGGAGCTCTGGACCGCAACGAGGATGCCCTTGGAGGGTCCTTTCACCCCGCCGCAATGGCTCCTCGTAAGACAGACCTCGCCTTAGCAACTGTACAGAAGCAAGCTTACTGACGGCCTTTGGCTCTTGCAATAGCTGCGTATCAAGAGCGTCCAGCATCCCCGGCCTCATCAAGGTCTTCTACCCGAGACCCGCCGGACTTTGTGACACGGACAGACACACCCGACCTAGACGATGATGAGGACCAGAACGAGTACGGTGGCCAACAGCAGCCATACCAGCGCAAGAAGGGGATATACGATAGCAGAATAGAGCAGATTCTATATGAGAATCCCGAATTGCCTATTCTCATTACTGATGCTGGGAAAAACAGCGAGACTGGCGGCAGTTTTATAGTATATACCATCAGAACCGGGGTGCGCACCTGATATTTGATATATATCGTTTACAGCATATGCATTTCCAGCTAATAGCCGGATTAGGACCTCGAGGTGAGACGCCGATATTCCGAGTTCAGCTCCCTTCGCACGGCGCTGGTCAACCTTCATCCTACTCTTATCATTCCCCCCATCCCAGAGAAACACACCATGGCAGATTATGCGGCCAAACCTACCAAGGCCAAGGAAGATACGGCAATTATTGAACTACGGAAACGGATGCTGGCGGTGTTTCTGAACCGATGCCGGAGAATGAGTGAAATCCGCGAAGATGGCGTCTGGTGGAGGTTCCTGGACCCCAATGCTAGTTGGGTGGGTATCTACCTGGTATATGTGCTTCTGGTTATGATTGTGCTGACGACTTGTCCCAGGGTGAGGTGCTGAACTCACACCCGGCTGCTTCAGTTCCTAAGAACAACCTCAAAGCTCCTCCGCTAGATCCGGCTAATCCGACACCAGCTCATAACTGGCTTCCTGTCCCGTCGTCTTCAGCGAAATTAAAGCCCACAGCCTCAGATATTCCCGCCTCCTCGGCCGGGGCCCCGTCCTTCATGAATAGATTCCCGCCGACCTCCAAGACGCTCAGCGAACATGAGCTAGATCCATACTTTGTAAACTTCGAAGCTTCCACCAGGGAGCTAGAACTGCTGCTACAGGGAAGCGTTGAGAAAGTAAACAGACGGACGCTTACACATCTGACTGCTCTCTCATCAGACCTCATGGAGCTTGGTGCCAGATACAACGGATTTGCCCTTTCAGAGCAGTCGCCAACTGTTGCTGCAGCCATCGAGAGAGTGGGCCAAGCCGCAGACAACTCGTACATCGAGACGGAGGAGCTTTCTTCCACCCTGGGAGCTACTTTCTCAGAGCCGATGCGGGAGAGTGCCCAGTTTGCAGGTGTTGTTAGAGGCGTCCTTCGGTACCGGATCTTGAAGCGGATCCAGCAGGAGATGACACGAGACGAACTGAACAAGAAGAGCGCGCTACTGGACTCCCTTGAGCGAAGTGAGATAGAAGCGCAGCGTATCGAGGAATACCTAAACAGGAGCAGCAGTGGTTCGTCTCCCAAGACACGACCGGGCCGGTCTCTGTCGGAAGCCTCGTCAGGCAGCAACCCCGAGCCAGCACCAGAATCTCCCGCAGCTAATGCAGAGGACACTGCTTCTATTGACTCCGACTTCCCGCCGACTCACGGTGAGCCAGTTCACAGACCGTCAGCCTCACAGGGCCTCCCTCACCGGCCCGTAGACTCAACACCCAGCGGCCACCGCAAGTCCTCGAGCGGCAACTTTGTGACCAACAAGATATTCGGACGTATCAGCCATGCCATCCATGGCTTTGCAGACGTTGATCCCGAGCGGACACGTCGAGATCAAATCGGCAAGACAAAGGAAAGTCTAACACAGGTACGTTTAAAGACATCAGCACCCTCGGTCAGGTTCCTTTGTTTCTCACACTTTGTCCAGCTCGAGCAAGCTCTAAAGGTATCCGAGCAAGACGTCAAAGACGCCAGCAGTGGTGTCCTGCGTGATCTCAAACGCTTTCAAAAGGAGAAGGAAGACGATCTCCGCAGCTACATGGTATGTACTGGGCAGCCATTGTTTTAGATGTCCTCTTTTTTGCGTGATGCTGACTCCCCGCAGGTTGCCTATGCACGATGCCATCTTGACTGGGCACGCAAGAGCCTCGAGACATGGACTGAGGCTCGGGACGAAGTCGACAAGATCGCTGTCCGGTAGCGCGTTTAAGTTATCGGACACAGAACAAAGCCATGCATGCATGTTATCCTTCATCTTTAGCGTACGGAGAGGACAGGGCTATAATAATGATAGGACGTTGAACATCGGTTACTGTATACTTATTCCCGTCAAAGTTTTGTGTCTATGCTGCTCCTAGTGGTCGAACCTCCTGACAGCTCCAACTTTCAAGCCAATAATAGAATAGGGGGCCACACTTATAACCAACGCCATCCCAGTCATGAAGACATATTCTTTGTATATGACCGGAGGTAGATAGCAACAGTTCATCTTCCACTATGGCGAGCACTGGGAGTACTGCTATTTATTATCACCCTGTCTATTCATGTGTAGAGGCAGCACCAACACACCAAATAGTCCATGTCCAGTCCACCTATTGATGCTTATCCTGCCTCTACGGCGCATAACCGTCTCTATCTGAGCTAACGGCTACAACCCGGCCTCTATCAAGGCGATACTCGATGTCTGTCTATAGATACCAGGATACCGCACTCCATACTTCTGGCAGGCCAGAGTCCCGAACTACTTAGTTAACTGCTGGCAGGCCTCTGCAGCCATCTCTCCTCCATCCACCCCCTTCTCTACGCCTTCTACCCTTCTCTTCCGCTCTTCTACTCCATCTTGATATCGACCTTTCTTCTATTTCGTCTTCTACTTCATCTTCATCTTCATCTTCGTCTGTTCATCTTCTCTCGTCTCCGTCCGAATAAACTACACCACGTGACCAGGCGCGAAAAAACGCAACTCCAGCGACTTCGAGGTCGAAAAAAGCACCAGAAAACATCGAAGCCGACGAAGACGAAGAGAAGCGAAACCTCAGCCTGAAGGACGCGAGAGAGCGAGAGAGCGCTGCGTCGAGCCCGCCGCCGTGTCCCCCGCCCCGCCTGTCTTTTCTCCTTTTTTCGCGCCTGTCCTGCTGGTTGCGGCCTGTTCCAGCGTCCGCCGACGAGCCGCTGCATAGTACAGTTAACTACAGGCACCGTCGCCACACCCGCCAGAGACCTCGAGCACCGAGAAGCAGAGGGCATTCGCTCGCTCAGCAGGGCCGTCTGCCATCCCAGACCCGACGCTCAAGACTGTAAGGACGCTCCCCGGCCCTCCAGCTGCCCCCTCTGCCGGAGACGGGCCTCTCTTTTCGCCCCCTGCATCCGCTGATATATGCGTTATGTAACTGCTAGGTGACCACCCGCCTGGCGAAAGGCGCTGCTCGGTCTACACTCGGATGTGAAACCCAGACACACAAGGGAAAGAAGAAAAGAAACAAAAAAAAAATACTTCACCGATTCCAGAGCTGCCACTGGTTAGTGGGCAGCTCACCTTCACCACGCCTTCATCAAAGCGACGCAAGGTTGCCGCAGAGCTTCGCAAAGCTGGAGGCAACAAGGGCTTATACTTCCTCAAAACCTCCCCTCCCCGGAAACCAAAGATAGGAAAACGGTACGGCCAGTCTTCGTCTACGTCTGCCCTGTCTGCACTGCCGCAGCGTGGCTTCTTCACCGAGCCGTCCTCGCCCTCCTCGCCGAGACTGTCGCCCGCCCGGTCCCTGCAGGTAGACTCCTCGCACGGAAGCGCAAACGAACAGTCGTCCACCGAAGACTGGAGATCGACCACTGCAACGAGCTCTCCGACCGTTACGGACGGCGAGTCGACCCAAGACACTACCTGTTGGCCCATGTCATCGTCTAATAACAACAACCGAGCGGCCGGCCAGTCCGCCGCTGCCGCCAGTGATCCCCCGAAGGAGGATGTTTCCATGGTAGACAGCAACAGCAGCAGTGTTGGTGGTTCTCTAGACAACGGCAACTCTCACACTGCTCCACCGGCCATCAAGAGACCGGCTGCCGAGATGGGCTGTGACGAACACGATACCGTGATGCAGACTGATTCCCCTTCGTTAGGCTCTCAGGAAGAGGCCGAAAAGAGCAGTAACAAGGCAGCAGGAAGCAAGAAGCAGGCCGAGCGTCTGAATCGGCACCAGCGTGATGCCTCCGTTGACATGGTTGGAAAGGAGACTGAGTCCGAGACATCCAAGGGAGGCCGAAAGCACGCTTCCGAAACCAGCAGTTCTGGAACTGATCCGACCATCTACACCCCGTCATCCAGCAGCGGGCAAACCCATGCTTCCCACGACGATAACCCCTCTATCGACGAGCAAGTCGCCCAGGTCATGCAGTTGATGCAGCAGAGCCCCACCGACAAGCAAAAGGGCTACATTGTTTCTGCTACCTGGCTGAAGAGGGTTCTCTCCAGAAGCTCTACCCATCCACGGCCAGATAAAGCGGACAAGTTGGCTGCTGAGGGAGAGATTGGACCCGTTGACAACTCAGACCTTGTCCTCGTTACTGATCCGGACACCATCTTCAACGATGAAGCGGGCGAGCCATTCGTCCCCATGCGTCCGGGCCTGCAGATGGGCGAGGACTACGAGATCTTGCCAGAGGAAGCTTGGAACCTGGTGATGAAATGGTACGGCCTATCGAACCAGTCCCCCGCCATCGTTCGATACGCACACAACACCAACACCGAGGGAGACATGGAGCACATCCAGTACGAGCTCAATCCTCCCATTTTCTCCATCTTGAAACTGTCTCCAAACCCGTCCGAGGCAGAGAAGTCCAAACCTCCCGTCAGATTCTTGGCCAGCAGACATACCCCTTTCCAGCAATGGCTCAAGACCGCAAAGACCCTGGCATCCATCAATATGTCCACCAAGACTCGGGTCTGGAGAATCCTAGAAGGACTCGGTAGTTCCGCCAACGTAACTCCGGCTGCGTCAAGAAGTGCGTCCCCAGCACCGGGAACTACCGTCTCGACAAAGATTCCCACCTCCATCTCCCTGGGCCTGGAAGCGTTCGTGGGTCTGACTGAGGGATCCCAGCGAGAGCTTGTGGATGTCCAAGACCATACTGCAAATACAAAGTACAACGGCAGAGCGTCTATTCATGTTATCGGTCTAGGAAGCGACAACGTTATCGTCCTGGAGGAGCAAGTTGGCGGTCCAGCAGGCGGAGAATGGCTGTCCGAAACAACTAAGTCGAGCACCAACCTGACCGTCGGAGCTGGCACCAAAGCCAATGTCCAAAACAGGCTGAAAAACAAAAGCTCCTCGGGCAGCGGACGGACATCGCCTGCTCCTTCAATCGTCACCCGAGGACGACGGCGCAAGGACGGCAAAGCTCGAGGAGTGACCGGACTAAGCAACCTGGGCAATACATGCTACATGAACTCGGCGCTTCAGTGTGTCCGCAGTGTCGAGGAGCTGTCTCATTACTTTTTGAGTAGGTTTACTTAACATAAAAAAGATAACAAAAAAACCCCTGCAATGTTCTCTACTGACTAGATGTAGTGGGCGAGTATAAGAAGGACCTGAACCCGAACAACCCCTTGTCTCACAACGGGGATGTCGCCAAGGCGTATGCAAATCTGCTGCATCAGATATTTGACGTTCAGGGATCGGCTTCGTTTGCTCCCCGGAACTTCAAGGTTACCATTGGCAGATACGGCCCTTCGTTCTCTGGCTATGGACAGCAGGACTCCCAGGAATTCCTGCTCTTCCTCCTGGACGGGCTGCAGGAGGATTTGAACCGTATCCAAAAGAAACCATACATTGAGAAGCCTGATTCCACCGACGAGATGGTCCATGATAAAGTGGCACTCCAGCGCTTTGCGGACCGCTGTTGGGAGATCTACAAGGCCAGGAATGACAGTGTGATTACTGATCTGTTTTCGGGGATGTACAAGTCCACTGTGGTGTGTCCAGAGTGCGACAAGGTCAGCATCATCTTTGACCCGTTCAACAACCTGACGCTGCAGATTCCGATTGAGAATAGCTGGAGCCACAAGATCATGTTCTTCCCGCTGCACAAGCCACCGGTGAACATCGACGTGGACATTGACAAGAACTCGGGCATCAAGGCGGTAAAGCAGTTCATTGCAAAGAAGATGAACGTGAACGCTGACAGGCTGGTGATGGCCGAGATCTACAAGCACAAGTTCTACAAGCTGTTTGACCACAGCCAGAGCATCGCCGACCACCAGATCAGCGAAGGGGACACTATTGCCATGTACGAACTTGACAGTGTGCCGACAAGTTACAACCCGGAGAAGCCACGGCGCTTCCGCTTCTCGTCTGAGGAGCCTGCAGTCGGGTTCAACTCGCCCAAGGCAGACCGGATGCTGGTACCAATCTACAATCGCGGCCGGGTGCGTCGCGGGTACGGCCAGATGCAGCGGGGGTTATTTGGCGTGCCGATGTACGTTGTGATTTCACGTGAGGAAGCGTATGACTACGATGCGGTGCTGCGACGGATCCTCGCACGGGTGGCCAACCTGACGACGCGTGACATTCTGCGAGAAGATGACGGGCTGGGCGTGACGAGGGCGCAGCAGCAGGCCGGGGAAGACTCTGACACTGTTGTGATGAACGAGGACGACACGCAGGCATACGGGCAGACGATCAAGGCCAGTTCCGTGGAGGGAGAAGATGGGCTGGTGGATGTGTCGATGCGAGATGCCGATCAAGACGAGGCTACTGCAGCAAGATGCAACAACAATAACAACGATAATAGTGACAACAAAGGAGGAGATGATGAAGAGCTTGCACCCGTTCTAAGGCCCGGAAGCTTCATCCCGCCGATGCTCCGCAATCTGTTTGATGTGCGGTACATTGCCACGAACGACAGCGAGCCGACTGGCTTCTCGATCATCAACGAGGCCCGCGAGTACCCCTTGATGCTGTCCCGCGTGCCCGACGGGAAGAGCAGCAGTAGCAGCGGCAGCAGCAGCAACAACGGTGGTGGCGGTGGAGCAAGCAAGATGGTGTTTGGACGACGGGCAGACGCGGAGAGCGTGGCCAGCAGCGACGATGAGCTAAGCGGGCCTGCACAACCCGTGAACGTGATGCGGACACGGGCAGCGGCTGCGGCAGACGACGAGATGTCGACCAACTCGAGCTCTGCGGAGACCAAGGACGACAGCGGGTCGGAGACGGACTCTGACCGGATGGCCGGTGCAACGAGCCTGCTGCGGTCCGGCAAGGCACGCAGCAGCAGCAGCAAGCAGAAGCCGGCCAAGAAGCCAGTGCAGCGACGGCTACCGTACGTCAAGCCGGGCGACGTGATTGTGCTCGACTGGAACGAGGAGACGTACGACGGGGTGTTTGGCGACGAGGACGAGCTGTACGGCGACAACGATGAAGGAGGGGATGGTGGGCTGCGCGGACGACCGACGTGGACGAACGTGTCGGATGTGGTCGACCCGGAGGTGACGAGCAAGCGGCAGCTGCGGTCGCGCAAGAAGAGGCGCGGGATCACGCTGGACGAGTGCCTGGACGAGTTTGGGCGGGAGGAGATCCTGTCGGAGAACGATGCGTGGTACTGTCCGCGGTGCAAGGAGCACCGGCGGGCGAGCAAGAAGTTTGAGCTGTGGAAGGCGCCGGACATTCTGGTGATGCATCTGAAGCGGTTCAGCGCCAACCGGATCTTCCGGGACAAGATTGACGCAGTGGTGGACTTCCCGCTGGAGCTGGACATGAGCGGACGGGTGCAGATGGTGGAGGAAGGGGAGAGCATGGTGTACGACCTGATTGCGGTGGACAACCACTACGGCGGCCTGGGCGGCGGCCACTACACTGCCTATGCCCGGAACTTTGTCGACGGCCTGTGGTACGAATTCAACGGTGAGTCTTGACTTTACTGTCTTATTCTACTTTACTATTTTGTATCTACTATATGTACTTGATGCTGACGTTGGTAGACTCCCACGTGACCATGAAGCGCGATCCGAGCAGCGTCGTGACAAGCGCCGCTTATTTGCTCTTTTACCGCCGGCGCTCGGACGTCCCGCTGGGCGGCTCCTTTTTGGCGCGGCTGACAGAGCAAGCGCACGACCGGGCCAGCGACGACTCCGGCAGCGAGAGCGGCTCAGGCAACGGAACCAGTGGAACCGGCGGCGGCAGTGGTGGCGGCGGCAGTGGTGGCGGCGGCAGTGGATCGGGGGAAGGCAAGCGCCTCGGTGGGCTCTCCCGCAATGGGTCGTCGGGCGCTTTACACGGAGCCGCAGCAACTCGCCAGTCGGGAGATGGTGGTTTGCCAACAGATGAAGAGGAGGAGGTGGACGTTGAAGGCAGTGGAGAAGTGGGTGAAGCCGGGCCTGATGATGAAGACGAAGAGGAGGAAGGGGACGAAGGGTTCAGCAGCGTGCGGTTCCACGCCGGGAGCGCGATGTACGCACAGCAGCCGAGCTGGTCGTACGACCGACTGGCCAACCACGGCTACGGCGAGGACGAGATACCGCGTGTCTTCCCTCCGCCGGGGTCCAGCTATGCGGACGATGGCGAGGGGGACGATGTGGCTAGCACGCAGGCGGAGAGGGGGGAAGGCGACCTGAGCGAGCTGGACCGGTCGTTTGAGCTGGACGCGGAGGGGGATGCCGATGCCGACGAGACGGGCATGGTATTCTCCAGTGTCCTAGACGAGGAACACGCACATGGTCATGGACATGGTCTTGGTCACGGTCTTGGTCACGGCAGCAGCCCTGCCATGCAGAATGAGTTTGACGACTGCCCAGCTGTGGTAGAGGTGCGAGTTGACGAGGAGTAGAAGTTATTACAAAGAAAAAAAAAGAAGAAGGATAAAACGTAAAAAGCAAGCCAGTCTACAGCATCATCATACATAGGCGTTAATGTTAGATTTCTACTTCACTCGGCTCGGGTATCTCTAAAGTATGGTCTCTAAAGTATGATCTCTAGTAAAGTACCTAGGTATAAGTCTGACCTCATCGACTGACCAGCCTCGGTGCCACCCCCTGACCTGCAGTAATACACATCAAGTCAATATCAAAAGTAATATCAAAGTAATACAAGTGGCCGGCTCAGCCCTGTGCGACCGACGCCCATCAAACTTTTCACTTTTCACTTTTTTCTTCCACTCTTTTCTTTTTCCACTCGACCAGTCACCAGTTCCATGTAAGGGGCAAACCGGATAAAAATTCTGATCCCAATAATTCATTAAATCCTAAAATAATAAAATTAATCCTTATCCACCTGCAGGGAGTAGTTACTAGGAGTCGTTACCAGCCTTGTCCCCAGCCCCATGCCCAGCCCAGCCCCAGCCCAGCCCATCCTTCAGTCCCCATAGATAGTCCCAGCCCAACACGAACCCCATGGGGTACGCAAAACAAAACACAGCAGTTGTATCTGTTAGCCTGCTGTCTGAGCGGCGTCTGGGCCATCGAGAGTCATCGTCTTGCCGGCAGCAAAGGTGAGAAAGGGAATCAGGGCCGAGAGCTTCTCTCTCTCCTGTCCTGTGGATGTCGTAGTAGTAGTAGAAGTAGTAGGTGTTGGCAGTGACGTGGGTACCGGCGTAGTGTCTGTCGACGACGGCTCATCCGGCACGCCAGGCGAGATCCTGATGCCTGACGAAGCTGTAGCTGTTTGTGTGTCTGTAGGAGAAGAAGAAGAAGAAGAGGGCGAGTGATGGTTGAATCCACCGAGAGCCACGACGCAGCTGAGGACGAGCAGGACGAGCAGGGCCAGCGTCAGGACGGCTATCAGGGCGTTGAGCAGGTCTACCGTCTTCTTATTCTTGTTATTGTTCTTCTTGTTCTCCTTATTCTTATGTTTCTTGTTGGCGATGGTTACTGTCTGTCCGGTGTGTGAGTCTGGCTGGTCTTCGGCGTTCCTGAGCAGGCCCGAGATGGAGGTCACTGTCGAGTCATTATTACTGTTGTTATTACCAGAGTTACTACCAGGGTTATTAGCAGTGTTCTTAGCAGTAGAAGTGTTGGTGAGAAAGGAAGGCAGGCGAAGATGCTGCAAGTCGCGCGAGTAGACGGAGGAGGCAGGACGGGCCATGATAGAAGAGGCAGCATAGCAGACAGCAGACAGCAGTAACAGCCTCTCTCTCTCCCTCTCTCTCCCTCTCTCTATCACTTATCACCACTATCTCCATCCCCTATTCACTCCCTCACTCCCTAACACTCCCACTGTCCACTCACTCTCACCCACTCCTATCTCTATCTCTCTATCTCTCCCAAGACATCCTCCTTCACCGCCACTCACTAGCTTCTTCTCCTGATCGTCCTTTTTTCCTTCTTCTCCTCTACTTTCAGTTACTTCTAGTGACTTTCATCTACTTTCTTCTACTTTCTTTTTACTTTCTTTTACTTTCTTCGTCTTCGAGTCTAAAAAGCGGCACGAGATGGCCTTCCTCTTCTGGTTTAGTCTATCTTGGCATCTGGGGTAACTTCCCTGCTTAGTCACTGCTTAGTCACTTCCTTAAAGAGGCAAGGACCCCTCTTTGCGGTGCGGCGGGCGGTGAGTTTTCTGCCGCGGGGTCACTCTCGGTCACTTTTAGTACCGTCTTGTCACTCCCTGTATCAATACATGACTAATCTCCCTCCCAGCCAATCAGAGCTCCAGTAACGCCCATCGCCCGGCGTAAAACCTTAAAGCTGCTCGCCCTGTGAAAATTTCAACAGCTGACATAAGCAGCCGCCGAGGGTGAAAATTTTTTCTTCGTCTTTTTTCCTGCAGTTAAAAAGCGACTTCGACCTCGACTTCACCTTCGACATCACAACTTCAACAACTTCACTCTCTTTACCCTCTACTCTCCTCTCTAGAACCATCTCTACTCTCTTCTATATTCTCTAGATACGCTCTAGATTCACATCTCCGTCTATCCCGTGTATAGACTGGGCAGCCGTCTCAGCTGCCGGGACCTGGTCATCACCACGTCGTCCCCGACTCCCACTTCACCACCACCACAACCACCACCACCAGCTTCAGCTTCAGCTTCAGCGTCCACCATGCCTGCAGTCGCCGTTGCAGACTCGACGCCCGCTCAGTCGGCCAAAGAGGCCGCCAAGTCGGTTGCCGTCCTCGACGAGCTGCTCAAGAGCCTCTCGCTCTCCAAGTCCGCCGACGAGGCCAAGGCCGCTGCCGCCAACATCGCCTCTCTCCTCAACGGGCCTACCGAGGAGCATGTCGTCCCAGCTAGGTATGTTCACTCAAACCACAGGTCATAGATTCAGTACTGACAAAGATATAGGGCCGTCGAGAGCTTGAAGAAGCAGCTCGGGAACAAGAAAGATACCCAGGCCCGCGAAAAGGCGCTGGACGCCATCCTCGCCATCGCACAGCACTCCTCCGTCTCCCCGGCCATGGAGCCCTACATCCTCGCCCTGCTGGGGCCCACCCTCGCAGCCGTCAGCGACAAGATGAACTCCGTCAAGGAGCTGGCCCAGCAGGCCGCTCTCGCCATCGTCAAGTCCATCAACGCCAACGCCGTCAAGGCAGCCCTGCCCGCCATCGTCAAGTCCATCCTGACCGCCCAGAAGTGGGCCGAGAAGATGACCGGCCTCGCCTGTATCGAGGCCCTCGTCGAGTCTGCTCCCACCCAGCTCGCCACCCGTGTCCCCGACCTCATTCCCGTCGTCTCAGAGTCCATGTGGGACACCAAGCCCGAGGTCAAGAAGGCCGCTTACGCCACCATGGAGAAGGTCTGCGCCCTCATCTCCAACAAGGATATCGAGCGCTTCATCCCTGAGCTCATCAAGTGTATCGCCAAGCCGGAGAACGTCCCCGAGACCGTTCACCTGCTCGGTGCTACCACTTTCGTCACCGACGTCCACGAGCCTACCTTGGCCATCATGGTCCCCTTGCTCGACCGTGGTCTGGCCGAGCGTGAGACCGCCATCAAGCGTAAATCTGCCGTCATCGTCGACAACATGTGCAAGCTCGTCGAGGACCCCCAGATCGTCGCTGCTTTCTTGCCAAAACTCATGCCCGCCCTCAACAAGAACTACGACACCCTCGCCGACCCCGAGGCCCGTGAGAAGACCAAGCAGGGTCTCGACACCTTGATCCGTGTCGGTGCCGTCGTCGATGGCAAGATCCCAGAGGTCTCCAAGGCCGGTGACATCGAGACCGTCGCCGCCATCCTCCGTGAGCTGCTCGAGCCCAAGTACAAGGCCCAGATCGAGCCTGCTGCTGCCACCATCGAGTACATCGCCGCTATTGCCGGCCAGCTCATCGATGAAAAGGTCGTCGACGTGGCCGACTGGACCGAGAACATCCTCGCCTACCTGACCGTCATCGTCGGTGAGGAAGAGGCCCGCTCCATGGCCGACAACCTCCGCAAGCGTGCCTCTCCCGCCGCCGCTGCTGAGGCTGAGGTCGAACCCGATGAGGAAGAAGGTGAGGATCTCTGCAACTGCACCTTCAACCTCGCCTACGGAGCCAAGATCCTTCTCAACCAGACCCACCTCCGTCTTAAGCGCGGCCAGCGCTACGGTCTCCTGGGCCCCAACGGCTCTGGCAAGTCCACCCTCATGCGTGCCATCAACAACGAGCAGGTCGAGGGCTTCCCCAAGAAGGACGAGGTCAAGACCGTCTTCGTCGAGCACGACCTCGACGCCGCCGATACCGAGCAGACCGTCATCGGCTGGACCGAGAAGAAGCTCCGCGATGTCGGCATCACCACCGAGCTCTCCGCCATCCAGGAGCAGCTCGTCGAGTTCGGCTTCGTCCGTGAGCAGCTCGAGAGCCCCATCACCTCTCTCTCTGGTGGTTGGAAGATGAAGCTCGCCCTCGCCCGTGCCGTCTTCGAGAAGCCAGACATCCTCCTGCTCGACGAGCCCACCAACCATCTCGACGTCAAGAACGTCGCCTGGCTCGAGCAGTACCTCGTCAACTCCCCCTGCACATCCATCATCGTCTCCCACGACTCCAAGTTCCTCAACAACGTCATCCAGCACGTCATCCTCTACGACCGCTTCAAGCTCCGCCGCTACCGTGGTGACCTCACCGCCCTCGTCAAGCGTGTCCCCTCGGCCCGCTCCTACTTCGAGCTCGGAGCCTCCGAGATGGAGTTCAAGTTCCCCGAGCCTGGCTTCCTCGAGGGTGTCAAGACTAAGGCCAAGGCCATCGTCCGTGTCAACAAGATGTCCTTCCAGTACCCAGGCACCTCCAAGCCCCAGATCAGCGACATCACCTTCCAGTGCTCGCTCGGCTCCCGTATCGCTGTCATCGGCCCCAACGGTGCCGGCAAGTCTACTCTCGTCAACGTCCTGACCGGTGAGCTCATCCCCACCACCGGTGAGGTCTACCAGCACGAGAACATCCGTATCGCCTACATCAAGCAGCACGCCTTCGCCCACATCGATAACCATCTCGACAAGACCCCCTCCGAGTACATCCAGTGGCGTTTCGCCACCGGTGAGGATCGCGAAACCATGGACCGCGCCAACAAGATCGTCACCGACGAGGACGAGAAGGCCATGGACAAGATCTACCGCATCGACGGCACCCAGCGTCGTGTCATCGGCATCCACTCCCGCCGTAAGTTCAAGAACTCCTACGAGTACGAGTGCTCCTTCACCCTCGGTGAGAACGTCGGCATGAAGAACGAGAAGTGGACTCCCATGATGACTGCCGACAACGCCTGGATCCCCCGTAACGAGATCCTCGCATCCCACGCCAAGATGGTTGCCGAAGTCGACCAGAAGGAGGCCCTCGCCTCCGGTCAGTTCCGCCCCCTCGTCCGCAAGGAGATCGAGACCCACTGCAGCTTCTTCGGCCTCGACGCCGAACTCGTCTCCC